TCAGAGTTCTATTCCTCTTTCAAAGCACTGGCTGTAAAGCATAGACTGTGTCACCAGTATCAATTGCTTTGTAAACAGAATAAGAGAAATTATCTTAATGTTCATTAATTCCCAGAGACTCATGAAAAAATCTTATTATGGAGGAGTTCAGGAAAATTATAGTGAAGCAGTGTTCATATGAACATAATTATCATGCATTTAAATAATCTCTGCACAAAAAAAACAAGTGTATGCATATATATGAAATTGTTTACATGACTGTCACCTCTTTCCCCCTACATTAAAAAAAAGTAATCATGCTCATGTTTTCATCACTTCTCTCCCCCCATTACATAAATCAGAAACTCACTTCCTGGCAATTCTCATGCTCTGATGCTGCACGCTTTACTGGACAGTTTCTCTGTAGGTAAATGATGTTATGAACAAAACAGCCTTGCTGGGACACTTGGCTTGAACTAAGTACTGACATTGAAATGTTAATTAGATAATTGCTCCTGGGTATCACCTACACCCCCCCACAGACTACCATTCTAGGTCTGGGATGCAAAATAGAGAGACCAGTGGAATCATGGGAGGGGGTTCTGGGGATGAAAACATCCCGAAATGGAAGGCTGGGCACAGTGGAGGGGGCTGGATGGGTGTTCTCATTAGGAAAAAGGGAACCACATCTCTAGTTTGTGTCTGACCTGTCACCATAGCCTACAGAGGACCGGACTGGACTGGGCTGTGGGAAGCAGGAGCAAAGCACACACACTTCCTGGTGTTACCAGGAGGGAAGGAGAGGGACAGCTGCTGCTGGACTTCGGCAGCAGGCTCTGCACATCCCCTCACCCTGCGGCCACCAGTGTGCCGGGAGGAAAGGAGAGAGGACGGTCTGATGGGACTTCAGATATGGACTGCACACCTCTTCACCTCCAGCTACCAGCGTGCCACGGAGACTCCAGGGACAGACTCTGCACGCCTGCTCACCCTTCGGCTACGGGAGAAGCTACAACAGCGGGGGCGAGCTCCTTGTTGAGTGCCCTGCCAAGCTGATTTTTTCAATAAAGAGCTGAACATTAATAAAGGCATAAGCCCTGTTCATTACACATGATGCTGGTGCTCTGGTGCTCTCAGAATAAGAGCTGTGAAATCACCACACCTCCAGTCTTTCACTTCCTCACTGGAAAGTAGAATTGAGGCTTTCCCTACTTTTTCAGAACTTAAAGAACTCCCTTTATGAAAGAATGAGTATAAATGTTTTCCATCCTACATCAGATCAGAACTTTTATGTGCATGTGTACATCCATAGGCAGATGAACAAATTAGACATCACAATCTGATCTGTAATATTGTACATTTTCCACACACCAAGACAAGGGAGCAGAGCTCTAGGAGATTATACTTAATATGTGATGGAATACATTCTCCTTATTCAAGTATCTTTCTAGACTCTCTGCTTGTGAGTCTACTTTCTCTCTCACATGTTCATATGAAGACAGAGATGAGGCACACATGAGTACATGGCCTGCAGGTAAATCCTGGGCTAAACCAAAAAGAATAGCAGCTGAGAAACATTGGAAGTACTAAAATTATCTGAGGCACACAGACTCAAGGTCAAGCCTACCCAAACCTCCTGGAAAGTACATCTACAAATATGTAAGGAATTGCAGCATGTGTGAATAGTATGCCTTGAGCAAACTCAAAATACAGCTTGATTCTAAGCAGAAAATCAAGACGAGGAAAAGCAATGAAAAATAATTAACCTAATATGAATTATTTTACAAGAAGGAAATGTAATCAGTAACTCAGGCCCAAAAGATCCATTTCTAGTGTCCAGAAACACTTTTGGTCTTACTATGTCTTAAGTCACAGTGGTCTGCTCTAAACCAAAAAAAAGATAACCAGACTCTGTAAACATATAGGCATTCTTGAACCCCCAAAGCACCAGAGTTTTCATAAAGAATCTACCCAAAGCAAAGATAAAAACAGATTCAAATATCAATAGAATTTTAATGTGGCTTAACTGAAAAAATTTACTCTTATTCAGAACATTAGCAATGAAATTAAAATAGACCTAGCTCTTTATTTATTATTCTGTTTTTTCCAAACACTTGAAAAAGTGGTTACAAAATGGTTCAATCATCTTCATTTCATATGTAAAAACAGGTAGTGAAATTAAGAACAATGCCTCCTCTGAGCATGCTTTAATAAAGGCTATTCCAAATGGAAAATGAACAGAGTCATGTGTAAGTAGTATAATCACAAATATGCCCACTCCTTTCCTTATCTGGAAAGGGGCACAAGATTCCTTGCTTAAAAGACAATCTTGCTACCATCCTTTTACAGCTACAATATAATCACTGCCTAATAATTTTTGATAATTGACTCAATTTCCTATTTCCAGGAGATAAGTGGCGAAAGTTTCTTTAAAATAACTTAAGACAACATAAAAGATTGTGCAAGATGCCTGTTACAATGATCCATGAAGCATTTGCTAGACTGTATGTACCATCCACAAGATGACAGGCAAAACCAACTATTTTTTTTGAGGGTGCTACTTGCCAGGGAGAAAAACAGGCTTTTAGGTCCAAGTTCTTGGCTTTTTTTTCTTTAGAAATAATATCAATATAACATATCCTCATTCAGGATGAAAATGGGCATAGATATAGATATTCAGGATATAGAAGTAATTTTCATAACAGGCATTGACAAATCCTGTTTTTTTGAAAAAATACCCAAACTTATTGCTAGCATTTACATACTTAATGTATTCTGCAACAGTCTAAAAATTTACACAGTCACTATCCTCGTCAGGAAATTAGGTCCGTAAGGCAGTGATTATCCAATTGGGATATGTCTCTTCACACTATTCAAAACTCCAGAGTTAAGATTTCCCAAACTCTCAAAATGTAGAAGGTTTGTAAAAGTCAAGGAGACACAGCATCTGAATTTGTACCCAGCTGCAGTTACAAACCAAATGATCATGTACCTCTTCAAGGACGGCATATGAAACCTCAAACAACCCATGAGAACATAATCAGTAAAACACTTTTTTAAGCCTCAGTTTTCCTCGAGCTTCTGTGCTTAAGGCATATCTTGCATTTTTACAATACCATTTAGCTAGAAAAGCACCAGAGCTAATAAAGCCACTTTTCAGAATTAATTTGGCTGATGAATTGAGATAATTCCATCCATCATGGAAAATGCATACATAATTACAAAATAACTGAGCAAATGAAGATGAAAATAATAGTTTAAATAGTACAAATAATAGTTTAAATTATAGTTTTTATATAAATTAAGCTGCTTGCATAGGTAATATAATTCCAAGACATAAGACACAGAAGTCAACGCAGCACTGCCAGAAGCATTATTTCAGCTGGATCCTTTTAATCTTAGATGAACAACACAACCAATGTCATTTAAATTCCATTATTTGGCAAGTTGTGCAGCAAGATTATTATTGACTTTTTAATTTTCTGCAATTTCTGCAAAAACTTAAAAAATATGTACTTTTATGTTTTTTCAGTGGAGGTCAGAAAATAAGAGATGTTTTCACACCAAGTTTTTGATAAAGACTCCTAATAAGACAGAGCAACACCCTTCTTTTATTGCTTATTGAATAAAATAACTACCAGGTATAAATGGGCTGGTGTAGTAAAATCTCCTTTCAAAATGGAAATAACTTAACTTTTATGCAAAGACTTTTCCTGGGGCTATACATATGCATTTGTTAAGCACTAACTCAGCAGAGAGGAAAATATGCCAGCTGCCAAGATACAAATACCATTTCACACAGCACCTGCTGCAAAGTGCTCTCTAGAGCTCTGCTGAGTAAGTGACCTGATACAATACTGCAGAATTGAGGAAATACCACAGGATGACAGAGTAAAGAGCTTTTCCTTTTCTCTGAGTATGTATTCAAAAATTACCATTATCAACAAAATTCTGAGTTATCTTACTAGCTTTTTTAACGAAGACGCATGTACTTATGAACTCATGGGCACTACTTTTGAGTGACAGTTAGGCAACTAGTGAAAAGGAATTATCAAATCATTACTGTAATTTCATAAAAAAAAAAAAAAAAAAGAAACACACAGGTCATTGTAGATCTTAAACAGCAGCTTTAAGAAACAAGAGATGTTTTACCTTTCATGAAGCTTAAAACCATTAGATCTACTATTGAAAATACAGCAATACTATTAATTTCAAAACACAAATCTGCAGTTCTTCCTAAGCAGTCAGAAGAGAATTGATTCCATCTAGTGGTTGAACAGAATTACAGACGCTCAGAGAGCTTTCATGTTCCTTATCTATTATACATTGTGTCCTTGACAGGGAGAGAGATACCATCACCAACACTGACTGCACCTAATACAGAGATTCTGACAGTACAGGGATGGTGAAAACTGTTCTAAACAAATCAAGACCTGTAAGAAGTTTCTTGTCTGTCATGGCATTTTAGTGACATACATCTGGTTAAATTGTGAACCCAAGGCTCTTCCCTCAGAAGCTTATTTGCTCAAATGTCTTTTATGTTTTGTACTCTGCCAGTAAGAGGCAAAAGTATCTGTGTGAGGTACTTGCAGACTCCTGTACTCTACACTCGATTCTTGCAGACTTTAGTGTTATCTCTTTCTGTTGTCACAAATAGCCATACAAAGTGCAGTTGAGCTATTAACTCCACTGTGAAGAGAACTTCTTCTTAAAAAGTGACTTAACAGGGTGGGGAATTTAATTCAGCTGTCCTAGATACTAGTCTTGTGTCCAACCCACCAAAGTATCTTTTCCCTGATGTCCCAAAATGACACATTAACACTCTGCATCTCAATATTTCCCCCACTTCTGGCTCTGAACTCTACAAAACCCATGAAAACAAACAATGGACAGTTTTGAGCATGGAAAGAATACTTTGGCAACCCACCCCATAACACTGAGATCAACAATGCAGATTCACTTGAGTCTCTTACATCCACTAGGTGCTCTTGGAAATATATAAAATAAATGGCAACACCTACCTGTAATTTGTGTTGTCATAGAAACAAGCAGTGAAAAATTCAAAGCTACCATGGAAATATTAACAGAGTAATTAGTGCCTGGTTGCAAATCTAAACAAACTTCAGGAGCTTGCTTGTGTGTGGAAAGTTTGAAGGTCATTTCATGAAAGAAGTTCTTCTGATACCAACGCTGGCCTTGCACATGAAACTGTAACCAAAAATCACAGCATAAAAATTGAAATGTTATAATACATTACTTGCATTCAGCCATCTCATGCTCTTAATTAGAAGAAATAGCAGAAGAGAGCACTGCTTGCAATGTGTCAAAACTGTAGGCATTGATAGTTACTCAAATTCCAATCTTTCCAAAAGTTGGTTTGTCTTGATCAGTATTTTCCTGGTTCTTTCACTTCTCCTAGTCTATCCTCTTTTTTATTAATTTCCCCTAGACCATATTTCCTGCTAACATACAGGCTTCCAGTAACAGTTCACTTTCACTGAAGTATACCCTTCTGGTGAATTATAAAATTAAGCTCATGAAAACACCTCCCCAGCTTCACCTTGAGGATCCAGACAAAATCAAGTATTTTGACCCATGCCAACTACACTCTGGGTTCTATCTACAGACACATATATTTCTGAGGCAATTTACAGGTTCATGGGTTCTGTTTTTTCTTTCAGTAGGATTTCCTGGTTTATTGTTGATGACTGAAATGATTATGAAATCAGTAACCTAAGGCCTCTCCTGATAAAATTATTTCTCTGTTAATGAATGAAACAAAATGAATGAAATACAATGAAACAAATATACTTGCTGGATATTAACTGTGCATTAATTTTCCTTTAAATAGATCCTGTGCCTTCAGATAATCTCTTACTGTGTCCTGGCACAGGGAAATTTGAGACAACAGCAGGTGGTCAAGAGTACTGGCAGAAGTAGTGCATGCCGAAATTCCCCACTGGGATAAGAGCAGACTGAAGAAGAGGCAAAGAGAACTGACTCAGTGGAACTGGAATAGAGTTGTGTGAGTTGTTTGCCTAAACATGGTAAACTTGAAAGTACAGACAAGGAGAGCAAATTAAGAGTTAAGTATGGGAAAAATAAGCAAGAAACAGGACTACAAGAGAACGTGGTCTTTCTTTGGCTGCTATGCAAGACTATTCTTTGGGGTTTTATGAGACATTATTATATAAAGGAACACTGCTAGCACTGAGCATTTGAAAAATTAGGTTTTTGATTGATGAAAATTGCTTTCTCGATTCAAAATATAGATTGTCACTTACTGAGTATCTGTCTTCCACATCAGTTCCCCTGACATTTCTCCTCCATTTCAAGCAGGTATCATTAAAAATTAACACGTTATTGAAAGCTTCCTTTACTGTAGAGACAATTTAAAAAGAGATCAACTTACTTAAAAACCTCTACCTCTTTCAACTTAATTGGAATAGCTGAGAATAATTTATTTTTTCTTTAAGTTTAAATTTCATTCTCTTCTGAGACAGAGAGGTAGGCTATCATTTCCTTCTGAATGAACAAACAAGTTAAGTAAAGCATGATCATTTTCCAGAGAAATCAGCTTTTGGAAAAACCCAAGCATGCTGTTCAGGGAATCTAACACACGATTACTTGTCCAGGCCTAGAAGGTTATAATGACAGAAAGATCAAGGGTTCAGGCCTCCTGATGTAAGTAAAACTATCACAGAACAATTTGTCATAGTTGATGCCCCTTAGGAAAAAGCATGTGAATAAAAGCATTTTTGTGGATTCCAAAAGTAATTATTTCTCCAGGTCTGTCTCACCAGAATTAGTACGTCAGAAGACAAGCCTAAAGTCTCGATGACTAAAATACTACAGAAATCCACTGTTAGAACATGGCTTCTGTACACATTATGGCAACTGCCAGAACCTTGTTAATCACTGGTACACACAGGAGCATTGTCTGTAAGGCTCATACCACTTAGATTGGTATCATATAGCCAAGCAACAGGGAATTCTCTTACAAGCAGAGAATCTGTTTCAAGGCAAAAACCAGAAACCAGCAGGCACTGTACCATGGACCAAAATTCTGTACCAATCCTGCCTCAGTTAGAAGGCAAGTCCTGAAATAGTAAATTTGCCAAATCTTTCTGAAGGGCACTTTCTGCCACTGCTCTTCTTGCTCATAGAGTCAATGGCCAAGTGAGCAGAAAGAAAAACATCTTGCAGAAAAAGAGGATGCTCACAGTGTCTACTTGCGCGTAGGCAGCATAAAGAATTATGGAGTCTAGGAAACAGCCCCTTTTCCTGTCTGTTAGACTCAAATCAGTGAACTCTGCAGCACAATAAGTTCTTTTATAAGCAAATAAAATACAAAACACAACATACCCTTTGTTTGAATTGCTACTGTAACTGAGACAGTGATGTTTCTAGAAGAAATGGTAGTTATATTCACCATGTAGTTACTTCCAGAGTCCAGATCTAAACACACTTTTGGATTATTTTCATTTGTACTGATGTTAAATATCACATCTTCTGAGAATATCTTCTCATCCAATCTTTGGCCCAGTATATGAAACTATTGAAACAAAGATAATAGTGCAATTTGTTGTGGCTCTTCCAAATTCAAAATACTAGTTTATTTAATCCTATCAGTACTTAAAGGGAACACAGGATTACATCTGGTTCAGAGTATCAGTTCAAGGAAAATATAGAGATTTTTGACTAGCTACAGGATGTCTTAATAAACTAGATCTTTAGTTCTTCTGGCTGTTAAAACTTTTCATGTATTTCTACAACACATAGAAGGGATCTATTATGGAATGTAATCCAATTTATTAGGAACCTAATCTAATGTTAGACCCTAAAAAGATTTCCAACTCAAATAATAATGTGTAAGCAAATATTGTTTCTTGTTTACAGCACACAGATATAAAGTACATCTACTTGTTACTTTCTTTCCCTCTTGCTAGCTTTTTCCCCTTGCCCCGCAGAAGCAGTAGTAAGACTGAATGCCAAACAACAGTAGATGAGCTTGTCTAAGATTGTCCCAGTGTAGTGAAAAAGCAACCTGTTGCTTGTATGACATGAAAGGACAGACAAAGCTCACCTTCTCTGGCCACTCTGAAGAGTATTTCAGATGGCAGAATTCAAGAAAAACACGTGAACAGAGCACATTATACCACAGATCCACAGCTTGCCAGTTACTATTGGCTACATAAAAAACAGTTTTGACCTGTTAGGGGAACTGGAAAGCTGTGGTTTCCATCTCAACAGTGCTCAATAAAAGTATACAAACAAAAAATACTTTGGTTATAACATAGGAGGAGAAAGATGGGTTGTTTTCCAAAATTATTACCCAACATTGAATTGTTTTCCAAAATTATTACCCAACATTGAAATGTTTTCCACATTAACGTACTTACCCTGGACACCCAAAATAATCCCTTTTATTATTTTTCCTTACTTGTACATACTAAAAAAAAAAAAAAAAAAAAAAAAAAAGGAAAAAAGCCAAAAGCAAGTAACACACACACACACACACACACAAAAATAAAACTCTTTCTTGGGATGTTATTGTGAAAACACGGGAATTCTTATCATGTTGTTTTGGCCTTCAATAACACTGACCAAACTTTTGTTTCTGAAAATTTATGCCTTAAGTTTTATTCTTATGCTCATGTAAATTAAAAAAAAAAAAAAAAAAAGAGAGAAAATAAAAAAAAAGTCCTTACAAAGGTTGTTTTCAATTTATATTTTCAGATATAACCAGGACGAAGTTACTCCTAATCTCAAATACTTCCATTATTACTTACTGTGTATGTTTCCTGCACTCCCAATCTTCCAGTTTTCCTTTGCCACTTCACACATGTTTCATTGAATATGGATAAATTACTAAATAATTCCTCTTCTGTGACCAAAAACATAGAAAGAAAATCATTACTTCTCATGCATATCTTATGTTTGGAGCAATTGCTTATTTCTTACTTTTTCTGTGGTTTGGTCTTCAGGTTTTTTTTGCTTTGCTTTTTTTTCCAAACAGGAAAAAACCAAAGAAGGTATGCACATGTTAGGTAGAAGGCTTTCTCTTAACTGTGCTGGCTCCTAAACGTAAAATAACAGGCTAACGAAAGAAGCATGTTCTGAGCTAAAGACTCTTTAAACAGAAACTCTGCAGAACAGACTCTGCAGACCTCTTTAAACATACAGCCAAGATTACATAAACTGACACAAGGAACTTTTAAGAAAGCTTCTGTGTTAGACTGGAATAGAGTTTATTTGTAGCTGAATAAAAGTTTTGGTTCATTATTGACTCGAGTTGCTTTTTAAAAGGTGTTGGCTTTTTTTTTTGTTGTTGTAGAATAAATAAAATCAAATAACACAGCAGAACGTTTTTCAAAACAAACACTAGATTAAAACAATGGAGCCCACAGAACCAAGTATGTAGGAAGTACAGCTCTAGCAACCAGAGATACATCCCTCAACACACATCTGTTAATTTATACACTTAGAAGAACAGGCTTTCTCAGAGACAAAGCACAGCTAAGAAGGTCAGCTCACCCATGCTTTTTTTCAGCAGCTCTCTTACTGCTGTCATTAGACACAGTGCAGTTGCTCTCACATGATGAGATAACATTCTCACATAGCTAAGAACACAGCTCCTTCTGGTCACAAGTCAGATCAACAGTGAACATACCTACTCCTTTCCCTCAGCAGCCTTCAAATTTTCATTCCCTTGTCCTACTACCATATTTTCTTATTAAATTCACTAAATGACCAAAGTCATACAGAGCCCACCTGATATAGAATCTAAGCTGAAAAACACGTATTAGCTGCTGAAAAATTGAAAGGTATTTATAGGATAGCATTGGTAGATACTTCAGGGAATATTCACAAAATAATTAGTGTATTGTTCTGATGTTAAAGCAAGCACAGGTCAGGGCACTCTTCCTCTTTATATAAACTTTATTACCACCTCACAGGGGCCCCTTTGTAGCATGTGGGCATCAAGCTGGCACTAAAATAAATCAGTATATTAAGAGTTTCTAGCACTTCTAGCATTTCATACTTACACAGCTATTTAGAACTACAATGTAACTGTTAATCTATTTTGCAGCACTTTTTCTTTTTCTTTTTTTTTATTAGTAGAACTGCCATAAAACTGTTTTCTAACATTATCTCCCTCTCCATATATTCAACAAATACATGCCTCACTCACTAGACCAGTTCATCTCCCAACTAATCTTAATTCCTCCATTCCACATTCATTGTATATAGAAATGCTGTTGAAAATTTCTGTTTCCAGGACAGACAAATGAGATTAATCTGCTGTCCTCTAAAACAAATTTCTTACAAATATCTGAGTGATTAACTGTATTTAAGGGCTGCTTATTGTTATTGTTATCTGTTTCACACTACTGCCCCAAACTCTGCAGTTTTCTGTACCACCACAAACCAAAAGATCATGTTCAGTTCTTGTGTTCTTTAAATCAAACAAAGTTTTATTAAAAGACTGGATAGCAAGAAGGACATACGGACAGAGGGAAAATGTTTCCATAGCCATGAGAACTGAATTAAAATGCATAACAAGGAGGCAAGAGGGACAAGGGAGGGAGTAATCTGCAAGACTTCTTAGCAAGAAAATCTGCAACTTGACTTAGGAGTTTATATAATACAGCTAAAAAAAAAAAAGAAAAAGGAAAACAAAGCAGCAAACAACAAAAAGGATTGCACTGGTATTTAGGCAAGGAAAGAAATCTTTACAGTGACCTTCTTGGAAGGAAGAAGGCAGAACTACTAGCATTCTTTTTTTCTGTAAATACATCCCTTTTTTTTTTATGCTTTCTGAACTTTGAGGACAAGGCCACCAGGCAATGACCATAAATTCACAGAATAGCTGGCAGATCTTTTCTCAAAAGTTTCCACTTTAAATGGATGTGAGTGAAAGAGCATGAAAACCTCTACAGAGCAATTACAACAACAAAGTCTTCAGCTTTCTGAGGAGATTGCTTTTTCTCCTTCACTCTTACTGATCACACAATCTTTGTTTGGAAAACCAAATATACAGAAAGGGCTTGGTTTAACATTAATCCTAGTAACATAAACAGAGTATCCAATAAAAGCACAAAGATTTCTCTGAAAAAAAAAACCATTCTGCAACTAGAGGGAGACAGGTTCCTTGAAACATTCATTCTACTGTGAAATCTAACAGTGCCAGTGACTTACAGAGCTTGGGAACTTGGTTTGTGAAACACACAGTAGCAGATGGTAGCATCCAGGTCTTAAATATATCTGATTTTGATCAACAGCTTATACTTAAACCCAAAAATAAGATGGGAGAAGCAAAGACCCTGCATTTGCCTATATCTCGGTACTATAAATATTAACTTGTGCTAAACCAAGGTGAGTGAAGTTCACTGCTACCCCACTAATCTTTGGGTTACCGTCACAATTTTTTCCCATCCCAAAAGACAGCGTCCTAGAAACAACATGCAAAAAAAAGCAAAGTGTTTCAACAGCTCCAGTGAGTGTTGGAGGGGGAGAAATTATGTCAAGAAATTCAAAGATACCAACTTCTTTACCAGAAAGCAGAGAGAATCAGCTCCACTCTTACATTTATCTTCAGCAAGTAGCTAGAAGAGAATCCACACATGAAGCTTCATTTACGGAGTTTTTGCTACCTATCCCCACATATACAAGCAATTTAGTGGAAAGAAAAAACCCAGGTATTAAATTTCTTTGTATATTTTTGCCTGCTCCATTCTGTAAGTGGTGAACAATGTTGCAAATGCCATCTGCTACTGATCAAAGCAGATTTTTGCAATTAAATAAATGAAAATATCTCAAAGAGGTGTCAAGAGGATGGTGCCAGAATCTTTTCACTGGTGCCCAGAGACAGAATGTGGAGCGATGGCCATAAATTAAACCACAGGAAGTTCCACCTGAACAAGAGGAAGAACTTCTTTACACAGAGAGTGGCAGAGCACTGGAACAGGCTGCTCAGGGAAGCATGAAGACATTCCAAACCCACTTGGACATGTTCCCGTGTCACCTGCTCTAGGTGACCCTGCCTTGGCAGGGAGATTGGACTGGATGATATCCAGAGGTCCTTCCAACACTAACTGTTACAAGATTCTTGGAAACCAAGCACTTCTACTCCACAGGGAAAGAAGTTCTGTGAGGAGCAGCTCTACAAGATGTCCAGGCTCACATGCTGAGCACACTAGACAGCAGGTATTTTAATTGCTGGTCTGTTCTCTGCACATCAATCACCTCATTTTATGTGTATAAATCAGAGGTTGGTAAAAACTTTCATCCAGCTTACTCCTACCTCATCTTACTGACAGTGTAATCCAATCAGCATGACAAGTAAAATTAATTTTGTAAAGACATTTTTCAGTATTTAAACTAGCTACTTAGAAAAGTACTTGTATACACATACATACATATATATTTACCATATATCTAAACAATACACCAAACAATGCAAATAAAAGGCATCCATAGCAATCACTTTTTAAGAAATGAAGAAATTAATCGTCAAAGAGAATTTCCTGCAGATGTTCTCTTAACTCCCTTATTTCTAATGGACTTTTTCAGGCAGGATGAAAAGGCAATTGGTTTTCCAATGCCTATCATGAATTATTTTGGAATGGTACATAATTTTCTCTCATTTCAATGGTGGTACTGTTACATGCCATTAAGAGCATGTAAATTTCAAAGGCATCCCTGCACAAACAGAAATTTAATTTAATTTTAAAGCAATTTGTTAATGCCACTGAATATGAAAAATGTAGAAATCAAGAAGATGCAAGATTTTGTAACAATTTCCTGCTGCTGATTAATTTTTTTTTAAGAAGTCTGGACTTCTTTAAGTCTAACTTAAATAGTTAGCTAAAGTAGAAGCTGCTGTACTGTTAACACACTCTTCTGTGACCTTTCCATCCAAAAGTACCACCACATTCCCTAGATCATAAATTGGAGGAGGATTTCTTGCCTTCATTCTTCCTTCTGCTCCTAACTTCAGAATAGGAATGAAAAACTAATTAAATTGCAACTTAAACAGCAGCTTTGTGTGGTAATATTTACCTTTGCATACATATGTAATATTCTCCCATGACTGATCTATTGTGCATTCTGAAAAATTCCTGTCTCCATTGAAATAATATCCTTCTTTACAGTGATAGTACACTCTGCTCCACAGTGTGGTAGAGTTGTCCCAGGTCATTGTCGTGTGTGGAATCAGCAAAGGTTTGCCACAGTCTATTTCTAGAACAGAGAAAAACAGGAAAACAAAACCTTGAAATGAAAACAGGCAAGACGTATCAAAGTGCTAAAGATGGAAGCATGAACTGTCCTAGCAAGTCACATTTTGCTTTTTTCCACTTTAGAGATTTCTAAAAGTCAGGCCAGTTCATTAGAACCCAGAATTTTGTGGCTGAAGACTTTCTAGCAGGGTGGGGCATTTATCCTACAAGATGACTGATAAAATAAGATTAGTGTCCTGATTACAAATAGAAAGCAAGGATCTTTAAGCTTAAGAATCTTCTTTTTATGAAAAGTCGATGTTCACACAACACTCTCTTACCCTCCACATGCTATTTATTCCTTTATTTTACGTACCATTAGTAACAGTAGATATTTTAAAAGAAACATGGTCCAAGGAGTGTCATGAAAGAGCAGCATCAAGAAGGTTATGTTCCTCTGTCAGTAGATTTAATTCAAGTTTTGAAAAAAAGATGCTGCTACAGACAAGATGAATGAGCAATTATGAGGGAAAATTTGATAGATTATGCAAACCAGTTCACAGATAATTAGAAAGCTAGGATAATGAACTAATAATTTTAATTCCTATCCTCAGGTTTTGGGGGTTGAATAATAAAAACAGGGAACAAAAAGAATAAAATGTGAAGATCAAATAGATGAAACAGCATTATTTAGGGTAAAATCTGCTTTTCAATTCACAATGAATGTTATACTTCCATAAAAGATTCTACACCACTTCAGTTATAAGAAGCAAACACTGTAAGAATTAAAATGATACCCTCATTAAAGCTTATATGGAGCAAACTAGTTCTTTTAAAACCATTCAATAATTTTAAGTGATTCTGAAATTCTATTTTATAAAAATGAAAGCAAAGAAGTAAAAACCAAGTTTATAGAATCATCATCTGTACAACCTTTAAACAAAAATTTAAACATATGTATTTCAATGGATGTGATCCATCATCATGACTACCTTCCTTTTCATACACCAATGAGTATGAATGTATCTAGTATAAGTCATCAAAAAAAGCCTCGAATAACTAATGCACATATAAGCCTGTGCTTAACTCATAGAAGGACAGTATGTGACATGACAGAAAAATTCCTCCTGTTCCAGCTACCTGCCCATGACCATTCTGTAAGCAGACTGAAATGCAGAAGCACGTTCTTGTATGACAGTGCAAACCTTCTCCTTAGACTCATGACACAGAACAAGAATATTAAAGGTAATTCTAAAAGTAGAGACCTATTATAACATATATATGGATCATTCAAAAAAATTACTACATTTGATTGCAAAAAACTGAAACCTTGATCCTGGATCAAGCGAAAAGGAAGGAAAGGAAAGGAAAAGGAAAGGAAAAGGAAAGGAAAAGAAAAGGAAAAGGAAAAGGAAAAGGAAAAGGAAAAGGAAAAGGAAAAGGAAAAGGAAAAGGAAAAGGAAAAGGAAAAGGAAAAGGAAAAGGAAAAGGAAAAGGAAAAGGAAAAGGAAAAGGAAAAGGAAAAGGAAAAGGAAAAGGAAAAGGAAAAGGAAAAGGAAAAGGAAAAGGAAAAGGAAAAGGAAAAGAAAAGAAAAGAAAAGAAAAGAAAAGAAAAGAAAAGAAAAGAAAAGAAAAGAAAAGAAAAGAAAAGAAAGAAAAGAAAAGAAAAGAAAAGAAAAGAAAAGAAAAGAAAAGAAAAGAAAAGAAAAGAAAAGAAAAGAAAAGAAAAGAAAAGAAAAGAAAAGAAAAGAAAAGAAAGAAAAGAAAAGAAAAGTTTTTTTAAAGTGTACCGCTGTGTTCCATCTTACTGAGGAATTCTTTAGGCTACATTCTTCCGAATCATAGCATTATAAGAGACTTGACTTATCTCACATAGCAACAGCATGTATAAGCAATCATAATTTGCAACTGGAAACTGTCCAACTACAGGAATTTTGAAGGTATGCTAATAACTAGTAGCAGTTTGATTCCTGATAGTGGCTTCAACTGCTATCAGAAAAGTAGAGGATATTGAACTGGAAAAAAATGGCTGCAGTTTTGGCTGTATTTGCATCTCATGGTAATCCCAATGCCTGACATGCATTGGGATTATGTTCTTGGAATGTTAACTTTAACAATTTATTGCAACTTCATAAGCAATTCAGATTAAAAAAAACACCCTGTTCAATATATGGTTTTTGTTTAGTGACAACTTTCTATGCCTGAAGACTATATAAACTGAATGCCTAGAGGATGACTGATATCTATTACAGTGAATTAAATGGTATCTATGCAAAACAAATCAGAAGGCAGGCTTTACCTTTGCACACCAAATCAGGGCCATCCCACTGTCCTTTGGCATTGCAGACTGCAGTGCTACTGCCGCCTGCCATCAGGTAACCATGAACACAATCATAAGTAACTTCACTTCTGTATGTGGTCCCACTTGCAGATATTGGACGTGCATTCAGAACAGAAGGTGGAGCCCCACAGTCCACACCTGAGGAGATGAAGGAAGATAGGACTGTTAGTCATCCAGCAGGAGCAATGACAACTGCACTAACATAAGTATTTGTTCACCTTTACCAGCTAACCCTCTTCTCCTGTAGTAATATAACATTTCCTCAGGTCCTCTGCAATATTCCCACTATGACTGACAGTGCTGTAGCTACTCCAAACATCTGCTTCCAAATATAAGGACACTTTTCTGTCTTTCTCTCAGAATAGCATGCTAAATCTTTGACTCCCTCCTCAGTCTAGCTGATAGTATACAGAAAAGTCCTGATTTTCTTCTGAATCTTCAGACTCTCCTGCTTTTACAAACCTGATGACATCAGATAAGGTGGTTCTATACCATTCACAATGAGCAACACTCAAAGGAAGGCCAATGACCAAAACTGCCTTTAGAAAGCAAAACTTTAAAAAGTGTACAAAAACTGTAAAAATGCAAAACCATAGAAAAGGTTACAACATAGAATATTAAAGTTTCCTGTTAAGGCAAGAGTCTACATAATGCTCAAACAAAGAAGTCAAGAGGTACACATACACATATTTATTAAAGGTACATTCATTAGTATTAAAAAAAATAGACTTGCTGGTTTTAGAAAGAGAAGTCCTACCTGAAAACAGGAAAAGGGCTTGCAATACAAGGAGGAAATAAGTTTGACGTTTCAGACTTTTGGCTGTTTCTTGGTGTATGATGTATTTTATTTCAATTAACCATAGAAGATATGCTGAGAAAGTCTGACCTGACCTACTGTTTGACTGTAAAAATTTTAAAAATCACATGAAAAAGCAGCTTCTGATAAACATTACTTATATCAAAAATATATCAACAAATAAATAAATCAAAAAATATATCAACAACCTGCAAGAGTTGAATTTCACAATCTTTCTCTAGGGACCACTTGAGACTGTGGGCACTCCCTTTTTGTTTTCAAATTCATTGTCCTATATTTATTTTTTGGGTGGGGGAAAGTGTTACTTGCATTGTTTTAAAATTGTTTTATCCTTTCTTATGAATTTCTAGTGATAGTTAATATTTTGCTTTTCCCAGCCACATTATTTTAGCACCCTTATTTTAATTTATTCACTTCCCACAAATGTTACATTTCTATCCATTCTCGAAGAAAAGAAAAAGAGAGAGAAAGGGAAAGAATTGGGAAAAAGAAGAAAACTGTTTCAGAGAAAGAATGAAGTCTCCTCACTAAGTGACAATTTCCAGGATGACAATTCTCCTCTACAGAATTGCTATACACAGTGTATCTTCTGTTAGCTAGCACTTCAAGTATCATGTAACTAGTACAAAGGCTTTCTGACTATTCACAGGAATACAAAAAGAGTTCTGCACTCATAAGCAGTAATATTGCCAGAGAATGGATGATTAGAACACCAAAGCAAGTACATCTTTTAAAGAAAGTCATAGGAAACTTAACTCTTCAGAGATGTGGAAGTGTTTGTTCATTGTCCTGGGTTGACTATATGATGCTTGTATCCCCAGTTGTCTGTTCTGTTTATGCTGAATAATAAGTTTTGCACCTTTAAGACTTGTTCCAAGAGCAAAGGAGGGAGAGAAGAAGCACAGAGTTTGTTTCCAGAAGCGGCACTCACTCCTCCATATTCCTGCTCCTGGACTGTGTCGTCTGCGGATGGACCAACAGCAGGGCAGAGCTCTCCTTTGCTTTTAGTTAGTTTTAGCTAGCTGAGGCAAAGAAGTTCCCGGGACTGTATTTTTTATCTTTTCTTTGGACCTGTTTAAACCTGCTCTGAACTGAAACCAGAAGAGCACCGGCAGCTCGCACCTGAGGCCCACCAGACCGGGCCTGGGCCGCGGCATTTTCCAGCACTGGAGGGGCAGATAAGAAACTGAGCAAGCTGAGCTACAGCTCACGGAGGGGACTTTCTGAGTTTGTGTCTCTTTTGGAGAAGCAAGAGGTTTTATTGTTTAATATTGTTTCGGTTTTCTTGTTTAATAAACAGTTTTTAAAAGTCACTTTTCTCCAAGGAGGTATTTTTCCCAAACTGGTTGGGGGAAGGGCCAATTGAATCTGCTTTCTAGAGGAACACCTTCAGGGATTCTCTCCCAAATTTGCCCCAAACCAGGACATTCATGCACAAATGTTCTTAAAATAACGAAGACTATCCAGAGATGAGGAGTGCTATGATGCCTTCTTTTGCATCCACAGCAAACCTTCACACAAAACTTCACAAGGTGTCAGGAAAATTAATGTTTTCATGAGAGGTCAGTGATTCTAACTCAGTAGCCTTTCCTGTGAAATGCTAAAGAAATCTAGTTGTTTTCTAGGCCTCAGATCACAGGCAGAAGGACACACTTCAGTGTCTGTGAAAATGCAGGGAGCAGGATAAAAAATGTCACTACACTAAAGAAAAAGGTAAACAATAACATGTCCTTTAATTTTCTTCTTTTCCTGCAAATAACCAGATCTTGAAAAAACACTTCCAGGCTGTGGAAACAGTCTTCTATCTTTCACACTTCCCTTGCATTAACCCCCTTAATGAAGAATTTAAGAAAGATGTAAGACTCTTTTCACCTTTACAGCTTAAAGTGGCAGGTTCCCAAGTTTCATTTGCAGTGCAGTATGAGAACTTCCCTTCATTGCTGTAAAACCCTTCTTGACACTCATAATGAACTGCACTTCCTGGTAGCAAGCTGGAGCTCCCCACAATGTAGCCATGCTTCATTTCAGGAGGGGAACCACATCTGATTTCTGCAAAGAGACTGGGTTGAAAGATCTCACAGTACATAAATCACAAAACTTGATCGCTTTAAAATCAGCTGAATTGGATGGTCACACCACAAAATATACCTGACTTAATGAATCTGAGGGCTTATCAAAGAGGTAGAATAATAGATTTGAAGAATTGTCCGGGCCACAGCTAGAGGAACACAGGGAAGAAGTTACTGAGCTACACCTTTACTAACATCCAGCTGGAGCTGTTCACAACACCGAAGATGAGACACTGCAATGTGATGGTGCTTTGCATGGGCCAGTCTCATTACAGCAATAGCAATATCTTCAACATCACAGGAAAATTTCAGGCCCCAACGCACAGCTTTATTTCCCTATGCATGGGAAAATGAAGCACTTTGCAACAGATAAATTGGAATGCAATGTTCTGCCCCTCAAAGCCTTAATCTCATTGAAACAGCCTGCATACAAAAGCTCCATTCCTCCAGCACATCTGCTTGGACGGGGCTCCTTTGTGCAACTCTGCAAGAAACACAATCAGTACAGACACTCTACTTCACCACAGAATACGGAGAGGAGAGTCAGTGAGATAAGAAGCAGGGTTATCAGCAGTTCTGGCAAACAAAGCCAAGCACTCCAGTCAGACAAACTGAGCAATTACAGACTGTGAGTTGTACTGATGGTTCTGGCAGTAATTCAGAAATAAAAGCTGAATATAATCTAGGCAGCTCCTTCCAACTGGGATGCCTGTGTTCATTGTATACTCTGATATCCACAGCTTACACTGCTAGTTGTTTGCTCCTGAGAAAACTAACACTAAAGATAGATTTTCAAATTGGAAACTTGGTTTTGTTTTTTTCTTTTATGACAATATAAACTAAACTGTTTATTTATGCAGGAGGCAAAGTATTTAATAAATAGATACATTGTTATTTTATTATTCCTGTCCCCTTGGCTCTTTTCATTCATCTAACCTCTCTTATCAGCTATTTAGCCTCTCTTCTCTTCCCCTTTATGTGGTGTGATTATATAAACAACTGGATTTCAACACACTTCCTTTCTACTCAGAAACTAACTACATTACTTTCATAATATTATCAAGCTTCTCTGACCCTCCACATCTGAAGCACTGCTGAGAACCTGTAGGAATATCTGGCGTTGACTCTGGGATCCTGACATCACTGGAACAAACTGAATACCAGAAGAGAAAAAAAAAAAAAAAAAAAAACCAAAAACACACAGCAAGCAAAGTCCAGAGAAAGGGTTTCTGCACTACACTACGGTGCAATATGTGATTTTATCTGCTAGCGAAAACAGCATCCAAAGACTCTCACCTTTGCATGAAACTATGTTTCCATCTTGATGAAAAGAACGTTCTCCAGTTTCTAATTTATAACCATCATTGCAGTAACACATGTAGCTTCCTTCAGTATTCACACATCTTGCATTGTGACCACACAGCCCAGACTCCTCACATTCATCAATATCTAAAAATTCAGAGAAAAATAGATGCACTTCATAATAGGGGTTTTTGTTTTAATTAATTAATAAATGGCCCAAGCTTAACTCTTCTTTGAAGAGTTCTCCATCTCTTCTCACAACTCTTCTAGGAAAATAAAGGAGCATATGATTGTCTCATCTTCAAGCATCTGGAAAAACAACTGTTGCAATTTTGCCACTAGCTATCTTTAAATTACTGCTGGTTTACCTGACAAATAGTTTCCAATGTTACATGCTGTTCAAATAGTTCCAGACAAATCCAGTATCTGGACATCTCTTAAATGGTTATAACAGTTCATCACTGACAAGAAACTGGCTAACATTCTACACTAAACACAATTACAATCTTGGGAATTTTAAGTATCATCCTATTTTGTTAATCTCCCTGCTGCTGCTTCTTCTGAAAAGATCCTTGTTTGAATGAGATTGTGAAGCAATGATTTGTAACAAAGCAGAGTTAAAAATGGAACTAATTCATAGCTGTTAGGAAACTGGATGTCAAACAAGCACATCAACAACTGAAGTTCTCTGATATTGTGTCAGAAAATAAGTTCCAAGTTTTTTTTCCCCCAGTGATGGGGGAAAAAAAAATGTCTGTATTTGTCACACTTAGAATTCTTTGAGATGTCTACCTGTACAGTTTGTGCCATCATTGGGAATAAATGTCTTGTTGTTATTGGAGGCTCGGTATCCATCAAGGCAAACGCAGTAAAAACTTCCATGTGTATTATGACACAGTGTATGATTTCCACAGATCTTGCTTGCTCCAATCTGACATTCATCTTTATCTGTCAGTACATTTAAAAAACATCAGAGAGAGATTAAGAAAAGTGGGGCGTCCTCCCCTCCTCATTCATGGTCAAATAACCAGACTTCTTACTGATTTCCTTTATAAATTTCCTTTATAAACACTGCTGATAAGCTGGAGAAAATCAGGAATTTTTGTCCCTGGATGAAAATGTGAATAGAGTTTTGTGACACAGCTTAAGTTATCTAAGATTCTAATAGCTACTGAAACGTGAGGGCCCTGCTCTCTCCTTCCACTCTTCCTTATGGCGTACACTCATTATAGCACCTCATGGAACACATGGGTGGGGGCAATCCCAAGCCCAGCTACAGTCTGGGTAGAAAATGGACCATGAGCAGCCCTGCTGAGGAAGATTTGGGGGTCTTGGTAGAAGGAAGGCTGGACATGACCCAGCCATGAGCACTCCCAGCCCAGAAAGCCAAACATGTCCTGGGCTGCATCCAAAGCTGTGTGGGCAGCAGGGGAGGGAGGGGATTCTGCCCCTCTGCTCTTCTCTGGTGAGAGCCCAGCTGGAACCTTGCATCCAGCTCTGAGGTGCCCAACATAAGAAGGATATTGACCAGCTGGGGCAAGTCCAATGGAGGCCATGAAGATAATTGTGGGCTGGAGCACCTCTCCCACAAGAAAAGGCTGAAGGGGTTGGGGGTTGCTCAGTTGAGGGTTGAGGAGCTCTTATGGCCTTCCAGTACCTAAAGAGTACTTTCAAGAAACCTGGAGAGGCACTTTGGACAACATCCTGTAGTTCTAGGACAAGGAGGAATTGCTTTAAATTAAAAGAGAATGGATTTAGATTTGGCACTATGAAGAAACTCATCATTGCAAGGGTAGTGAGGCACTGGAACAGGTTGCCCAGAGAAGTTGTGTATGCCCCAGTGCCCCATTACTGAAAGTGTTCAAGGCCAGCTTGGATGGAGTTCTGAGCAACTTGGTCTTGCAGAAGCTGTTCCTGGTCACAGCAAAGGGGTTGGAACTGTACGATTTTTAAGATCCCTTCCAACTTGAAGAATTCTATAGTTCTATGATTTTCTACAACAAGATACCTGAACTCTGCAGGATCCAGCAGCTGCCAGTGCTTTGTGAAAGACGGGTAACAGACAGGGAGGAAGAGATCATTGGTGAAGGATCACCCCCTTTAAGCAATGGTAAGTTATTACAGACATTGAGACAGAGCATTTGACATTGTTCTTTGATTCATATTTTGATATGAGATAGTCTTAGAAGAACATTATCAGACACAGTAGCAAAAAAATTAAACAGCACTTCTGAATATGTACAAGTCTTTTGGTGAGGAAAAAAATAATAATATATTCTATGGGAGATTCTTCCAGGAAATGATAAAGCTTTTAGCACGCTTCAAAGAATTCATTAAAATTACTTGAGAAGAATCATTTTAGGAATTTACAGAGTTTCTTTCCATTTTATAAGCAGGCAGCTTACCTTGACAATGGGTTCTTCCATTACCTACAAATCCATAATTGCAGATACAAACACTTTTTCCTCCACTTTGCTGGCATGTTGCATGAATGTGGCAAGTTGCACAGACATCCGGAATGGATCTGTTCACAATTACTTTAAGGACAAAAAACTACAATTACCTTTTTAAAAATACTTTGCAAGTGGCATGGTAGGATAACCAGCACAGAATTGAAAGTGGAGATAAAATCCAGATTAAAACACATAGAATAGACTACTACCTTCTCCCACCTCATCTTGAAACTTGTAGGAAAACCACAGCTATTGTATTAAAAGACTAAAGATTAAAAATAAACAGAAAAGATTAACTAATAACTTGACTGAGCATTTTTGTCCATCCTTCTCTGACAAAAAAAAAGAGTTTTTAAGGTTTCAGAAAGGCTTAGAAGGTATATAGTAAGTAGCTCTATCCAATATTCTTAATCTTTTCTCCATAAACATTTGTTTCTCTCTTGTCTTTATTTCTGTTTCCTCTGTTTTATTGTACTTTTTTCTATTACTTACACATAGACATATGGGATAGTTAGCAATCTGCTTGTATCATGCGTCAATATGGTAAAAATGTTGTTCATAAAAATGTTGCTAATGTTGCCTGGAGTAAAATTACCTACAGCAAAGTAATTTTAGAAAATTAATTTATATTAAATATGATTGAGAAGCACATAACCTAATTTACTATAATTTGAAAGGGCAGTAAATATATGAAATGAGAATAAAATATTTTTTTTTCTTTGCATTCATACTTTCAGGGCATTATGTTCATTTTCTTTCATCTTTTTATAAGCTCTTTTTGTTATCGCACATACCCTCACACTTCAAAAGATAAATGTCAGAAAGGATGTATTTAATGTAGACAAAGCTTGTGTATGCTGATGTCTTTTTACATTTTAAAATAAAGAACTAATACAGCATAAGCTGATGTCTGATGGTGCTTGACACAGAAGTATAGAAATTTTTACTTTTCTAAGATAGCTGAAATTGATAAGAATACTTACATGACTTTATATTTAGCATCTCTGACAAAATTATGACTACTCTACAATGTCTAAATATATAACCAGAACTGGAAGAAGGCAGCAGAACACTCTAGTAATTCTTTATGCATCAAATTGATCACTGTGATAAAACTGCCTTTCCACATGCACAGGTTTTCAGGTTTTTTAGGGTTTTTATGAGTGCCCTAAGGCTGTGGGAAGCATCCTAGATTCCTACTCCTAATTATCCATGCTTTTATATACGTGAGTGTGTGTGTGTGTGTTTCTGATAAGAGCAGAAAACAAAAACTGTCAGCACGCAATGGCAGCCAACATAGAACAAAAAATTAAGTTTACAAACAGCCACAGAGTGAACTTTCTCATGATACCTCAATCTTGTGATAAGACATGGGAGTATCCTCCTCAGATTGCTGCTTCAGGAGATATAAAAACGTGTTTCCACCCCATGCCTCCACTTACTATTGCAGCTGAAATTTTATTACTTATTTGTCCTTCACAACACACAATTTATCATGCCACCACTACATTCCCCCTCACTGTTTTGGTCCTGCCCATGTGCTCCCTCAGGCGCGGCTCCCGCCGTGGCAAAGCCCCCTCACCCGACAGGACACGAGGTCGCTGCCACCTCAGCCATCAGCAGGTGACACCCCCAGCCAGCGCACAGGACAGCAGCCACCACGGCCACCTCTGCCACCAATGCCACGGGTTACCATCACCACCACTACGGGATGCTCCGCCATCACCGTGAGTTGCCTCCAGCACTCTCACCACGTGCTGCTCCGCCTCTATCACCATGGGATTCCTGGACATGAACAGCATGGGCTGTCCACAACACCACCACCAAGGAATGCTCCGCCATCACCACGGGCTGCCTCTGCCAGCACGGCCAAGGGCATCGCCGAGCCGCGCACCTGACGCCGCGGCAGCGCCGTGCCCCCGCTCCAGCTCAGTCCCGCGCCCGGCCGCACTCACCCCGCGCCGCGCACCGCGGCAGCGCCAGCAGCAGCAGCAGTAGCAGCAGCAGCAGCAGGAGCGGCCCCGGGGCCTGACCGCTCCCCGAACTCATTGTCCCCGCGCGCCCCTCGTCCTGAGGGCGGAGGGCAGGGGGGAGCCAGGGCAGGGCACAGCCCGAGGGCCGGGCCAGACGCGGCCCGGGCGGAGAACGGCTGGCGTTGCCTCCCGGCGGGCGGGACGCCCTTATCGCCCACCGCCGCGCCCTCGGCCCCCGCGGGACTTTCACCCTCAGCGAGGCCCCTTTCCTCCCCCGCCCCACTGTCCACAAAACCCTCTCTTTTCTTCCCCTTTTTTTTTTTTTTCTTTTTTTTTTTCTTTTTTTTATTTTATTTATTTTTTTTTATTTTATTTTTCCTCTCTTCCCTGCACAACCCCTTTCCTTCCCCGGGACACCGCCTCTGCCCCGGCCAGGCAGGTGGCAAGGCTGATAAGGGCTGCTGCTGTCCACAGCCCGGGGGCAGAGGGAGAAACGGACGGTAGGATTTTTTATAATTCCCGGGAAGGGCGGCTGGATGGACACACCTGTTTTGTATTGTAGGGAGCTGTGCCGATCTCTCCCAGCTTGCCGGGCAAGCGGGACCGAGCAGCACCTTCGGGGCCCGGGCCGAGAGCGCTCTGGTGTGTCCCCGAGGGGAGGGCGTCGCAGCTGCCTCCCGCCCGGTGCGCCCGCCCCGGCACCAAATTGGGCATCAGTCCTACGAAGTACTAAGCCGATGCAGACGTACACGGCCAGCCCTTACTGCTTGAAATAAAGGAAGCTTTCTCACTGCAGGCCTTAGACTCCGCTCAGATTAATTCCCCGAACCTCGGGTTTAGCAGGACCGATAGTGCTGCCTGAAGAGTTTTCTGCTGTAAGAGTAGTAATAGCCCTAGTGCTCAGAGTCGTCATTCATGTCCCGTGAGCCTGCATTTCAGAAAGCTGCATGAACTTAATTACAAATGCAGTTGCCCAGTTACCACAAGAGAGGAGTGCCAAGGCTAGGAACTGGGAAGCCTAACAAAAAAGTAGAATTTGTCCGTATTTGATAACTCTAATGAGATTCCTGAAGAAGTTTTGCCTCATGTGCTATGGCTGTTCATTAATGGCCTTTGGAATGCTAATTCAGCCCAGTCCTCCATCACCACCTGTATTTAAGTGACATAAACTGATCTTTTCCTGCTGTATTATAACAAACACCAAACTATCAGTGTCTGATTTCAAGGGATGCAAAACCCAGTTTCATTGAATTATCAACTTTATTGATTTATTTACATAAGCTGCTCTCTTCCAGGTTTGGGGTTTGGTTTGTTTGGTCTTTTTGGGTGGTTTTTTGTTTGTTGTTTTGGGTTTTTGTTAATTTGGGGGTTTTTGTTTGTTGTTTTGTTATTTTAATTACTGTTCTGCCTACTTAAGCATGTATGCATTTTAAATCAGCTTCTGCTATGCTTATTCATCTTGACCAGATTCTTCAGCAGCAGCCAGTTACATACAAGTGCTGCTTTTGGAAGAGCACACTAAATATGTTATTTATTGCATATTTCTCCCTTAAACTTACTGAAACTGGAAGCATGCATTCTCAGGGTGGGTAAGTACTTAACATTATATGGGAATAGTTCAGAGAGCAATTGTTCTGCGCAACATATTAAAATGGTTTGGAAATTTACAATTTTTCACTTCCTTGGCTGTCCACTGTGTAGCAGACCTACTAAGCACTGCAATTCTACTATTCTTTCACAAAAAGTAGTGGAAGCAACTTTTATAATTATAAACACATCATGCAGCAAACAGAAAAATATTTTTGGCATAAAACCTGAAGAAACATCATCTTTATAAAAAGAACAAAATAAAAACTACAATAGAAATAGTCTTAAAGAAAGTAACAAAAATGTATATCAGCTGAATAAAGTACAGGACCTAGACTGGAACTGACCTCCTTGTTATATTCCTGGTTATCATGTCTCAAACACACAATTAATGCTGTTTAAGACATACTTCAGAACAAATAATAAACTACATACAAGGCTACTTTAAATTCAATGAGATAATAATAAGAAAGTAAGTGTTAAAGATGTTGAAACGGCATTTGTTCTGTTTTCCACTCTAGAACAAGGTCAATTCTATGATTCCTGGCATACTGTCTAACTGCTCTCATGCTGACAGTGATGTAGAATTCAACAGCATTCCCAAACAATCTCTTCCACTACTTCAGGTTTGAATCACCAGTGAAAGTCATTACAGATCACTTTCTGCCCTGAGGTCACCTGCCCAAACTCTAGCTATTTGGTACAGAAAAGGTAATTAAAGATTCAGGAGAATAATACAGACTAAGTGTCCCAAGATGCTCATCCTTAACATCTTTGTCAAATCTTGCTTGTTCACATAAAAAATTTCTCTAATGAAAACACAGACTAATACTACTATATTTTCTGTTCTGGATAGGATAAAAATGTTAATCTCTTCATGGTCAAACCTAAGGAAGCTATTCTGTAATTACAGTGTTTCCTTCATCCCTAATATTAAATTAACCAGAAGGTGTATTATCAGTATTTACTTCAATTCTTCTTCTTTGTGAAAAGAAAAGAGTTGTGATGGTCAAAGTAATACAATTCATCCAGAGATGCTTGGAAGTTTCCTGTGCATTTTAGCTTTCAATGTCTAATGAAGATAATTGAAAATGAGAAAGCAAGCTGGATTAAACATCTCCTCAGCCATCTGTATTTATATGTCTCCTTTGCAGACAATATATTCACATGCATCTAAATCTCTTTAATTTTTTTCTAAGCATTTTTGGCGTAGACTACACTACTTATCTGACACATGACGACAAAATATTTTATAGCTAATAGCTCTTTCAGCAAACACATTTTCAAAAATACAGCAAACATCTTCAGCCAAGTGAATAAATATATTTCATTCTTGTTAACAGATCACTCAGCTATTCATTGTGCAGTTGCATTCTTGAACACCTTTCTATCAAAGTGCTTCTTTCCAAATGGCAATGAAAAGAGTAGCTACAGCTTGATGGAAGATTCCTTCTACCTGAATTCTGTCTCTCTTGCCTATTTAAAATTAATCAAATAATAACTGGTTTCTGGTAACCCCACTTTGCTCCTAGAATAAGACACACCAATTGTTGAAAATAACTCAAAATATTCAAAATAACTGAAAAGATTGGCTGACCCTCTTCAGTTTCTATCGAAAATGCTTCAGTAAATACTGTGCAGAAATAAAGCAGTATCTTGTTTGATATTTTTTTTTAAAGAAATACTTTTCACTCAAGTTGTTTGCAGTATTTCTGTCTGTACTCTCAGGGTACCTATGTCACTGTCTCAACTCCTAGCAAATGTAGTCAAGATGAAAGTGTAAATGAGATTTCTGCAAAAGCTGTGGATACCTGAATTTGAAACTTTAAATATTGAATGTTCTATACCAATTTGACTAGAGAATAGGCCTGGGATGTGACATATATCATAGCATGCCCTTTACATCTCATAACAAGGGCACAGTAGGTGATAAAGCCTGCTGACAGTTACTGCTAATCAGAAAAGCAGCTCTCCCAGAGCAAGGGCTGCTATCTGTGGGTTTTAGCATGGAGACCAAATTAGGCTTTGCCGCAAACCCACTGGGAGCTTTGATAAGATAACCCTTCTCTGCCTTCTGCACTTCTCCCTCCCACTTAGATGTGTAACAGGGATAGTATTCCTACATAAGCGTGTATGGTGCAACATAACCTCTGTAGAAGCTTTCATGCCACAACACCCTGTCCCAGTTTTTAGAAGTTTTTAAACCACAAGGACTTAATGTATATTGTTTATGAGGAGTATCCTAACGTTTGTCCGATCTTGGAATGCCATCCAAGAATACTGCTGATACCCATTGTTATGATGTTTCATGCTGTGTCATTATTTTGAGGGTTGTGCTGACTGAAGACCCATAGTTAGGAAGAAAAGAAGCAGAGAGGCACGAAGCAAAAGTTCAGAAAGGAACAGTAACAGTGCTTCCTTCATACATTTTAAAAAGAATAACTAAATAAATAAAAAGTGATGTTGAGATTTTTTCAGCTCAAGTAGAAAAACATACATTTTTTCCATTCAGATCCTAAAATATCTGCTAAAATCCAAGAGAAAAGAACTTGGCAACAAGATTCATGCTTTCTTCTCTACCAGACTCTCCAAACTCACCCACAGGGGTATTAGCCCTTTCTATTGAAGCTGCATAGAACTTAATAACAGCTTGTCAAACAAGCAAAAATTAATGGAATATCTTTGATGGGTATAGGAAAACCCAAATCCCACTGACTACATAATTATCCTTGTATGTCCTTGTCTCACCATCAGCTTTCCTGTATTTAATGGGTAGATGAGTCTTAAAGTGAGTCTAGAACATTAGATGGGAAATACGGTAACTTGTCAATTATATTATCTATGAAGATAAAATTCTATATTTGTGTCGTGTGAATTCCCTGGCCATCCTGCCTCAACATGTTCCTGTGAACCTGCTTTAGCAGAGAAGTTGAACCCAGATGATCTCCGGAGGCCTCCAACCCCACCATTCTGTGGTTCTGTGACAAGAAATAAACAAACTATTCTGAAGCTGCTCAGGTAGTTGGGGATTCTTTGCCATGGCTTCTTTCTCCCATGGACCAATTGTATTTTGTCACCAGGCAATCTCAGATTGCATCAACACTGTGCAGTGGGAAAGAAAAGGGAATCTAGTAACCAAACATTTCATAGTAAATACTTAACCTTACTCTCTGAGTTGTTGTGTAAGCAATTAAACTTTTACATGCTGGTTTATCAAGTTTAAAGTAGCTGTTTTTATCTCAACTAGAAAGTACCTTAATTACTGTATATCTTGGAATACAAAGCTAGCAGAATGAGTTGGATTTTAGATTAAAAAAAATATGCATTCATTGGCATAAAAAAGAGAGTGCTTTTGCTTTGTTTACTAACCAGCACAAAGCTCTGCTTTTGATCTTGCAATATTAAATTAGGTGTAACTCTGTTATTTTCTGGCAATCAGAGGTGAATTACACCCTAGGTGATGGCCTTTCGGCATTGTTATAAATTGTAATAACGTAAATTGGGATTCTGTGGCCCACCTGGTCTTTTATTTCCTTTTTTAGTCAAATTGCAAAGCTGAAAGCCCCTATTTATCTTCAAAATAATATCTGCAAGAAATCAAGTTTGTCTTACAATTCACAGAACTATGGAATGAGAAAGATTAGAAGGAGCACTGGAGAACCCTGGGCCAAACTCCCTGCTCATGCAGGGTTATCTGCACATGGCACAGGATTTCATCCAGATGTTCCTGAATACCTCAGTTGAGGGAAACTGCATGAACTCTCTCTGGGCAATCTGCTCCCGTGGCACTGTCACTCACACTGTAAAGAAATTTTTCCTTATGTTCAGGTGGAACTTCTGTACATCAGTTTCTGCCTCATGTTCTATTGCTTGGCATCACTAAGCAGAGCCTTGCTCCATCCCCTCAACACCCTCCCTTCAGATACTTACAGACAGTGACAGGGTCCCCCTCTCAGTTTTCTCTTCTCAAGACTGAAAATGTTTAAGTCTCTCAGCCCTTCCTTGTAAGAGAGATCCTCCAGTCTTTAATCATCTTTGTTGCCCTGCACTGGACCCACTACAGGAGCTCCATGTCTCTCTTGTACTGAGGAGCCAGAAACTGACACAGCATCCAGGTGAGGCCTGCAGGGCTGAACAGATGGGCAGGATCACTCTCTTGACCTGCTGGCAATGCTCCTTCCTATGTAACCCAGGATAACCATGGGCCTGCTTGGCACAAGGGTACCACTGGCTTATGAACTTTCCATACAGCAGAAAAACTTAACATTCAAATAATGTAAGCCTGTAAGAATCGTTAGGCCTAAACGAGGCTGAGAATTTTTTCTTGCTATTGTGCTACATGATCCATGTCTTAATTACAATTACAGATTTTTTTATTTCATATCTATTTGGATACAGAACCAGATGTACACCAAAGGGTGTTTTAAACTTTGCTAAGGTACCGCTCCATCATTTGGAGAGTAGGAAGTTATGTGTATGTCAGTTTAGAGTGTGTCGTCAGACTGGATCCCAGTCTTGGAAGGGACAGAACAAGATTAGTCAGCAGGATTCCCAAGTTACATTCAGCTCTTAACCAAGCCCAATGTTTCTAGCCACTGATCTGCAAAGTTATCAGCATTTTCCTGTTAGATTCATGAGACAGCAAGTGAACAAGATATCCCAGGCAAGACAGGATGCTGCTGCTAACATCTCATGGTCAGGCCCTTCAAAAGTAACCTCTTCTTATCTATTTCCTGTTGATGAGTGGCAACAATGACCTTAAAATATTTCTGAAGGGCCTGATAAAATCACATGCATTAAAAAAAAAAAAAAACACCCAACAAAAAAACTAAATGAAAAATGCAATCTCCCTCTAATATAAAACTGGCAGAATCTTAAGCCCTGCAGAATAAGCAGTTTGTGTAAACGCTAGACATACACAGTGATTGAACAACTTCCTCAAAGAAAAACTCTTCATACAAGTAGCATAGCTCTGCACTGACTGATGAAAAAAGAGCTCCACAAAATGTTCAAGTAAGTTCTTTGGGAATCTTACAAGGACATATAGCATGCCTTGAAGGAGAAATTAACTCAGGCCATCTTGTGTCAGGCAGGCTGTAACCAGCAGTGCCAAACCAGAGCAGAAAAAGAGAAAAAAAACATTTATATCATAACAAGTCTCAGCATCAAGAAGTGTGTGTTGTTTATTAACCTTTGTGTCTCTGTGGTTGAATCAACATTGAAAGATCTAATGCTCAAAAGAGCATAATGCACAGTTGTTTTTGTTGAAACAAACACACTCAATAATAATGGAGTTGATTGGGAGAGGTCTGCCTATTAAAAATCTTCAACCAGTTTAGTTTCTGATAGAACCAATGAAGGCTCTGAGAAAGAGGATAAACTTGTTGAAGACACAAAGAGCAACAGTATAAACCCTGTATACTTTTGAAAAATAATTAAAGCCTCAGCAAGACAGAGTTTTAAGCTGTTCAAGTCACAATGAGAACATATATACAAAAAGGAAAAGAGCATGTCACCCCAACCAAACATCACATATGAAGAAAGGTATAGTAACCATTTTCAGTTAATAGAGTACAATAGAAGAGACTACTTGGGTAGCAAACTGTTTCCTAGAAATTTATTGTGACCTTAAATAGAAAAACTACTTCAGAGCTTTTCACAATGGGGAACCTTAGTCCCCACAATTCACAAAGTACTTTTCAAATCTGATGACCAGAATGATTCAAATTCTGCATATACAGAAATAACATTTTGCTGAAGGTACAGTATTGCTGTATTAAATCTCACACTGCTTTTGGATAATTTGGCCATAGGAGAGAATTGGAAGAGGGAAGAAAAGGAAGAAAGGAGAAGGTCAGTAATGCTGAAAAGTCAGCCAGTAACAGTGCCATGTTTTTTGGTAGGAACTAAACCTGAAAAATTTCAGGTTTTTCTCAGAAGTTTTTATTTAGAAAAGAACCCACAACCCTCCTCTCCAAGGTCCACCCACATTGCACTGACTAAACAGACCATGAAGCTACAGACAGCTCTTCACAGATCAACAGAATTTATAGTGAATAGCAGAGTTACCTCAATTTCTTTAGTCTTTGTAATTTTTTGTGTTGAGATCATATTTGTTTTAAAAGAAGTTTCCATTTTATTTCTACAGGCAGTGATACTTACTGAATATATCTCTAGGTATGTGTTAGGCAGCACCGTAGCAGACTAGAATGGGAACCTGTATCCAACCACAGAGCTGCAAACCTGCAGCATTCTGCATATCTTCAGCCCATCCTCCTTTAAAAAAAGTTTCCAAGCATTGAGCAATGTGGCTTTGCTGACCAAGATGGGCTCTGGAGGGAAAAAAGAAACACAGAAAACCCTTAATAAAAATCCTTACACGACCCTGCATTGTACAAACAATATGCACACACGAGAGAAACAGTTTATACAATCATATAGGCTCGCTTGGAAGAGACCTTTATATAGTTTGACCTGCCTGCCATGAGTAATGACACACCTTCCATCAAATCAGGTTGCTCCAAGCCCCATCCAACCTGGCCTTGAATATTTCCAAGGATGGGAAGTCCTCAACTTCTCTAGCCAGGTTGTTCCAGTGTCTCACCACCTCTACAGTAAAGAAATTCTTCCTAGTATCTAATCCAAACTTACTCTCATTCATCTTGAGACCATTTTCTCTTGTCTTACTGCTCTTGTGAAAAATCCCTCTCTAGTCTTTTTGTATTTCCCTAAGCTACACAGCCAGAAAAACACTTTACATAGTAGATTTAATGGAGGAGTTACAGAAGCTATATTTTGCTTCCATCAAAAGCTCTGATTCTCACAAAAGGACAGAGTGGCTGTTTGAAGCAGATTGGAAATATAACACAGGACCTAAAAGTGTTATCCTGATGAACTGTCTTAGACAAAGCAGCAAATAATATGGAATAAGAATGATCACTAACTTGAGACTAAAGTATTAGTCTCATTATAAGAGCTTTTTTGGAGCCAGACGACTCATACTTAGCACTACTTTAAAGACATTTGTTCTCGCTGTCACTAGACTGTTTCTCTCTGGTTTTTTTTCAGAATCTGAGACAAGTTAATGTTCAACAGCAAAGACTTTGGTCTGGAAATGGTCTCTGGGATGACTCACTTCCCCAGGTCTCTTCTTCCCTCTGCCTCTAGCCCCCACACCTTCTCTCACCTACATATTCTACCACAACTTCTGCTTTCATTATATTTTGTTTAGAAATCCTTGTACTCACCTGCTATATGCCAAAGAACTCAAGTACAAATATCTCAGCACAGTTAGAAAATGCAAGTGTGAATTTTTATTGTATTTTCAAAGCATACAATAAATCTTCTTTCCACCTCTGTAAATGGGTGAACCCTAGGGCTATAAGGAAATCTTTTGGACTGATCCAACCATATGAGAAATCAGATGATGGCAATTCATCAGTTACTGCCCTTTCTCTTTCAGCCTGCATGTAACAGAACAAATTCTGGTATCAAAGTTCTATATCTGTGCTATTTAAAAGTTGTATTTCATTTTTCATTTTCTAAGATGGACACATATAAACCGCTTAAGGAAAGAATTACTGGGATTGTATTGCGGGATTAACAACAGAAGACAAGAATTCAAGATGGGATTTACTTTTTGGTTAAGGAGCAATGGAAGAAGACAACAGTAGGAATTTCACTTTCTCACACATTCTCAGGCAGACTTGGTCAAAAAATAAGAAGCCAGATTATGGGCACCAAAAGCTAGCATCTTCCCCAGAATGCTTATCAAATATTTAAGTATCAAGGACAAAAATCAAGAGTTACACATGGAGACTTCATATCTATCCTTTAAAGAATCATTTGCTGAAACTTTCAATTCATTCTAAATGAGTCAAATTTTTCTCCCCACAAAAGCATCTACACTCAAGAGACTGGAATTGCATAATTTACTTGGTGGGAGACAATTAAATCCTTGCCAGACTGGCTGAAAATTTTAGTTCAGAAAAAGGTGTTGCATTCCCCTCGTATTTGTATTTATGGGCCTTAGACTACTATCTGTTTACCATCAATCCTGAATTTTGGATGCAAATTAAGAGGGTCTAAATTAGTATTGTGCAACACAGAGAAGGGAGCATGAAAAGCAAAGGAGTATGAAAGAAAAGCAATCATCAAAATAGGAAGCTGAAGCAGATCATCTTTTTAAGCTGCTACTTACATTCTTTTAAATCTTTGTGCAAAGGATATGAACTTCATTCCTAGAACTAGAAAAGAGTACAGCATGCTAAAAGATAAAGGAATTCTCAACGATAAGGGAAAAATCTCTAATCACTGAAGCCTCTCATCCCTGTCTCAAATAACAAAATATTCATCAACTAATGTATTGGTTTAGAGTAGTAGAATAATTTTCCATCCTACTGAAAATAAGAAAATAAAAATTTCTGCACTGCTCAGGAAAAAGTTTAGGTGCTGCTGACCTTCACTTCTTGCTAAAGATGTGCATTAATCCTCTTAAAATACTTTTGATAAGAAAAGCTTTTTTTTTTTAGATGCCCATGGATGCTGAGGGAAAAAAAACATAGATGTTATTAGCTGTACAACTGTAAGACCAAAAAACCCCAAAGTAATAGATCAGAACACAGGAAAATTTAAGAGAGTACAGACATAATTACGTTTATTAAAAGACATGCTACAACAACTAGAGTTAGGAAATTAGTTACGTATAGATATCATGAAACTAGAAAAAACACAAACCTAAAAAAACAGACTATATTACAACATAAGCAAAATCAAATTCACCATGCACTACACAGTCACAAAATAGGTTTCTTTAATACATCTTATATCTTTTCAGTTTTAAGTCATCTCCACAGATATAAAATACTTCTAATGCAATGCCACAAGATGCTTAACAAATGAAAGCTTTTGCTTATTAAAATATACAGACAATCTTTTCATATAAAAACATCTTACATTTCGATTTGTTTCCCCAAACACTCTTGTGCCATATTAAAAAAAAAAAAAGAAAAGCAAAACCAAAACATGATATTACAAATATTTACAGTATTTTCCTGTGTTAGATGAACATTTTTATAAACTGAAAGGGAACTTTCATGAACGTATCGACAGCAATTCTTAGAGATGTTTACTGTGTCTTGAATACAGTACTAAAAGCAACATATTAACATTTTGCCTTCTCTCACACCACTTGTTTCACATTAATATCTCCATTTTCCACTGTTTCTACCATCAGTAACAGTCTCAAATAGAGGCCACTTTGCATTGGGTCTTCCCATCAGAAGGGAGTGTCAGAGAAAACAGGTTTCCATACATCTCAGTAAAACCAGGACAGTCTTTGGTCAGAGAATGAAGTGATATTCTGATGCAAGGATCTGCTTGGTTAGCAACTTTCATCTTGTGCTGCTGCAGTTCAACAGTGAACTTCTGCAGAAAGAGGGTAACATATTAAAAAATAATTGGAAAGTTCTTCAAATCAAGTTTATGTGTGGTAGCTTTCCACTCATAAATAAAGCACAGTTTCCAAGAACTGAAAAATTGCTTACAGTGATGACATTAATCTGCTGAAGTAAAAGCTTTCTTCATTATCAAGGACCTTCAATTATGTAAGCATTTAATTTCTTTGGGACTGCTCCAAGCACAACATGTCATTATTTTCTGAAGTTGGAAATAACGTGAGTTATGCTTGGATTCCTACACATTGCAGTAGAAAAGTAAAATTGTTATGGGAAAGACAGTAGAATAATTAAATCTGTATTGAAACAGCTGTAGTCCACTTCTTGTATAGTCAGTAGACAATAGTAATTTTTCACAATATAAATATACATTTTGGGGAAAAATGTATTTATTATAATTAAGACACCTAAAGATATGAAAAACCCTATATATAAAACTACTGCAGGCACAAAAACTTTGGTCCAATTTTTTTCCTACATAACATCCCCATCAATAAAACCCTGAAGTTAAATACTTCAGAAATTTTATATTCAAACTGTTAGGATTTGCTTTGAAAAGAGCAGGCAAACAATCTTGTATATAGCAAACTAAACTTCAGAAGACAGAAGATGAAGTTAATTTACAGAAAAAATTCTGTGCAATCTGACTAGTATCGTTTCCACACAACAGTAACAAGACTAAGTCTGGTAGTTGGGCTCCAGCTAACAATGTATCAGGGCCAAAGGTTAAGGCAAAACAATGCTTTTTGTAGGCAGCTGGCCTCTTATTTGAAAAACAGAAATATAAGCTAACAGCATAAAATGGCAACTACTAGGTCTACATCTCTTATTAAAAACCCCAACTTACCACTTGCCTACTGACATGAATCAGAGGAGAACAAGATAATTGATCAGATAGACCTCACTGGCACTAGCATCCACAAAGACAAATAGTGTTCTTGGCACACAAACACAGGTTTGCTGCCTGTAATCAGAAAAATGTCACAAATAGGCAAGTTTCCACAGGTATGCAGAATATCTTCTGAATAGAAGGACCTCAATTTATCAGTACACAAATCCAGTGCAACTCACAGGACCAGCAGACAAGGCAACCAAATCAAATTATGAGTCAAAATCTCAGAAATTGGTTCTGATGTTTTAAGAGTTCTGCAGAAATTAAAAGAAGCAGAAGTTTTACCATTATGTAACAAATGAAGGATCATTTGAAAAGGCACTTAGCTGCTCCTGGGTTGTTAAAAAGGCCTTATTACACTTTGAACCAAACATGCGTCCATCCAAAAAAATGGACTAGGAGGTAACTCAGAGTTGATTCAAGGACATGACATATACAGAGGCATAACCATACAGTCACAGAATCATAGAATATGCAGAAGTGGAAGGGACCCACAAGGATCGAGTCCAACTCCTGGCCCTGCACAAGACAGCCTCAAAGAATCCCACCATGTACCCAAATTCCAACTCAAACTGTACATATCACCAGCTACTTGACAAATGGAAATTAATAACATATCTTGAAGAAATTATAAATGTATCTATAACAGCTTAAGGCCACAATATAAAGAAGATGAAGACAGAATCCTCTTCAGAGTTACACAGGTAAGAGGGGAAAAGGCAAAAGACATAGAATGTGGTATATTTAAAGCCTAGTTACAAATTAAGGAAGCAAATTCACAATGAGGACCACCAAACAGAAAAGAACTGTGGAACAGGAAAGAACTGAGAATTTGTTCCATTTGATTTTTTTTAATTTACATGGACAATTCTTTGAGTAACGGCTCAAACTTGTCTATAATCTGACTGGAATGTAGGACTAAGGCCTTTGGAGGTCCTATTCCATCTACATCACCATACGACTCTGTAGAATATGATTCTTTCCCAAATCCTGCTCTTTTCACAGATATCCAGAGCTTTAGAGAATCATGAACTGAGATGCAATTGTGCTTTTGCACCAGGCACTAATGAGTCAAGCACAAAGTATAAAAAGTATTCCTTCTGCCATGAATCCTCACTAGCAATGCATTGTAATAACTAAGGGACTACGTTTATGCTTTCAATTATTCAAGGTGGAACACTAAAAAGGAAAAAGTAACCTTAACTAGTGCCTTCACATTGCCAATGTGCAATGTTAACATTGCAAATGTTAAGATGTACTGTCAAGTTTCAAAGCTTATCTCTATGTCTTGTAAAGCAGATCTCACTAAGAGGCAGCATCTTTCAGATATACACAAATCTAAAAGTATGTTGGCAAGAATAATTTGGTAGCAATAAAGGTGAATAAAAAAATAAAGAACACTAAAGGTGAATTAAAAAAAGATACACAATACTTGATCACAAATCCAAAGAGCAAACATAATAAATACTGACATTCAGATTTTTCCTAAGTTAAAATTTTTTAAGATTCCACAGGCAGTCTTTTCATCAATGCTCACAGTCAAAGGGAAGGTGTTTGAAAGGGCCAGTCAAATATGGTGAATCAGCAAATGCTTCTGGGGCTGTGTCCCATGCAGGAGTTTGGCTGCTTTGACCATGGGACTTGCTTTCAGAAATTGGGTCTACTGAGGGTTGACAGGGTCCATCTGTCAGAACAGGGGAAGAGCATCTTCTGCCACAAGCTTGTCAAGCTGGTGAGAAGGGCTTTAATCTAAAGATGCCAGGGTAAGTGAACCTCAGTCCATCCCACTCCTATCAATTTAATGCCAGTGCCAGCAGTAGATGCTCAGAGCCTGAAGAAGGATCAGAAGTCAGCGGAAAAGCACCAGAAGAAAAACACGAGGGAATTGTAGCTACTTCAGCCAGTAAGTCAGCTTCATTAGAGTTTCAAATCCAAAGCACCTATGCAAGAGTACATATGAAGGGAAATAAACAAGCAGAGTTAGACATGTAGGCATGCCTTTGACCTCACTGGTATGTCATGGACACACAGTGGGACGGTTCCAAAGAGTAGAGTGTTGGAATGGAAGGATATGGATATCAGCTCTTCAGAAAAGACTGGAAGGGTAGACAAGGAGGTGGTGTTGCCCTCTATGTCAATGATCAGCCGGAGATCATGGAGCCTCACCTGGGGATGGATGAGGAGCTGACTGAGAGCTAATGGGTCAGGATTAAAGGCACACATGGGAAGGTGGCTTTATAGTGCGGGTCTGCTACAGATGGTCTGACCAGGAAGACAGAGAAGATGAGGCCCCTTACAGAGAAGAACAGCCTCACATACACAAACGTTCCTCATGGGGAACTTTAACCACTCTAATATCTATCAACACAGCAGCACATAACCAATCCAGAAGCTGCCTGGAATGCACTGATGATAACTTCCTTCTTCAACCGATGGAGAAGCCAAGGAGAGGAGGTGCTATGTTGGACTGTTTTTTCCCCAACAAGGATGAACTGGTGGGAAGTGTGAAGTTCGAGGGCAACCTTGACTGCGGGGACCATGAAATGGAGTTTCAGATCCTTAGGGCAGCAAGGAAGGTGCACAGAAAGCTCACTACCCTGGACTTCAGGAAAGCAGACTTTGGTGTCTTCGGGGATCTGTCTCATAGAATATCATGGGATAAGGCCCTGGAGGGAAGAGGGACTAAGGAAAGCTGGTTGGTATTCAAGGATCACCTTCTCCAAGCTCAGGAGTGATTATCCCAACAAAGAGGAAGTCAGGCAAAAATATCAGGATGATGTTAGATGAACAAGGAACACTAAAAGGATGAATTCAAACACTAACAGTAATAACATGTAGCCTGGGAGGAAGAGTTTTCTGAGCAGCCCAAGTCTATGAAATTGTGAAAGCTAAAGCTGATGTCATCTACCAGGACTTGTGCAAAGTATGACACTGTCTCACAAAAATTCCTTGTCTCTAAACCGGAGACACAGATTTGATGAGTGGAACTCTAGTGGGAAAAGGAATTGGCTAAATGGCCACATTCAAAGAGTTGTGGTCAACAGCTTGATGTCCAAGTGGAGACCAATAATGAGCAGTGTTCTGTAAGGATAATCATTGGTACTAGAACTGTTAAACAGCCTTGTTGGTGACATGGACAGAGGAATCAACTGCACCCTCTACAAGTTTGCTGACTACATCAAACTGTGTGGTACAGTCAGCACACCTGGAAAGAAAGGATACTATGCAGAAGGATCTGGACAGACTGAGCAGTCTGAGTCTGTGAGAAACTCACGAAGATCAACCCACACCATTCTGTGATTCTGTGAAATCCAAAAGACAACATGCCTTAGGGGAATATTATTCCTAACCCAGCTGAACTTTCTAGTACATAATACATTCTGCATATTTATATAGATGTGTTGTACAGCACTTATTATAGCTACATCTGTGCAGTCAGATTGGCTGCTATTGTTGAGGAACACATTCACTGAGGTAGCTTGGGGTGCAGCTGCAGTGGAGCTGCAGGATGAGCTCAGGCTGGGGGAGCCCAGGCAAAGAGGCCATGAAAAGCCAACCCTGGGCACAACAAAGGCCTGTGGACCTGTGCCCAGCCAGGGGACTGGACACTGAGACATGGCAGGAGCTGACAATCCCAGACCTTCCCATGCTTAGACTGGTGAGGGGATAAAAGCCCAAGGAATCCTTTGCTCAAGGGCCCTCCTCAGAGACACCAGCCCGAACTGTTAGTTTGTTATTGCACTGTGATGAAATTGTTTTAATGACTGGGATGCCTGAGACTGCTATGGAAAACCTGGGGACGGAACCCTGGTGTGACTGTGTGAGTGAGGAGACATAGCTGGGAAGGGGCCTTGGTTCCAGCTCAGGTGGTGCAAGAGTGACTGCCAGAGCAGCTCCTGGATGGCCAGGCAGAGAAGTTTCCTTAATACTACACCTGTAACCAATTTACATAGATCAAGGTAGTATCTGGCAAGCTACTATATAGCTGATTTTGCAAAAATCATTCAGAGAGAAAATTTGAGAAAGCTCACTACAGAATACTCAGATCATGGTAGAAACATACTGTTTCTTCTAGAAAGATAAAGTCATACAATTCAGATTAACAAAAACAATTATGAGTGGCAAAACATTAGAGCAGAAATAAATTCTGCAATAGTTAGAAGTAGACAAATGCCATGTTTGGAAGAAATAGGTCTTTAAAATGTGGTAGGTAAAATTAAATTAATTTTAAATTAGTTTATGTGAAAGAAAACACTGGGGGGAAAAAGCTCTTAAAATGAAATTAAGCTTTTTAAAATACAATCAGATTAGTATTCATCTGTATACTTATGGCAAAATCTAACTGCATCTCAGCTCATTCCCCAAACAGGAATCAAGATTCAGTATCAAACAGTTTTTCATACTTACAAAGGAAAGAATTATAGTATTCTATTAATTTAATACTGTAAAGTATTAAAAATAAAGAAATGCAAAAACCCAAAAGAATATTCTGATACAGCCAGTGTCTCTGAAAAAGTCAGATGAAGTCCAGAAAATTAACTGGATTTGCTGTTTGGCCCTCCTATATAGGTTTGTTTGGTTTTTTTGTATATTTTTTCTGGGTGTGAATTTTTTATCAGTGAACAACTACCATCAGAGAAGTGCAACTAGGTAAATTTAAAGAATCTCTATGTGATTTCACAACAAATGAAACCTCACTCCCATCTACATGCAATCTCAATAAGAAAGCATAAGAAACTAGAATTCAAAATATTAATTAATGAAAAAATATATTTCTTGAATTATCATGGAAAACATTTACAAAAAGACCAAAAGGAGAATTTTCACAAGGCCCACAATATTTTTGCAAGATACTTCAGGTAACACTCTATTCATACACATATAGTAAGGCACAAAATAAGAAATTAGGTAAATGCACAGTAATTTAAGTATTAGACTGCAGAGTGGTAAAATACCTCGAGGTTTAATTTTTCTGTCCTGAAAGATGACCTTAGCAAAAATAACTTCTTAAAACTTTGAGAAACCATCACAGACCTGAATATTTTCCACAAGATTGCAAACATTTAATTATTTAGAGAAACATAAAACATTATTTTAAATCAAGGCCATTTCCTTGTTTTATTTTCTCCAAGGTACTGTTACACATCCCTTCATAGCAGAAATAGGACATCAAACTTCCAACCCACAGTCACGCCAAATTAATTCTCCAATACCACACCTTAAAGAAATTTGTCAAATACTTTCATTCCACAGAGAGAAGGCACTGCCTTTTCTCTAATAATTTAATCTTACTATTTTTATAAACAAGTTATTTGTAAAGAATCACCAAAGTATGAATACACACCCTGGTAACATAAATACTAGTTAGAGGATACTCATAGTTACTGTTTGCTTTTCTTCAAGAAACCCAAGCACTATTTCACGTTCAAATTAGTGTTTAATCTGCACAGAATAGATTTACCTTTTCATTAAACATACTAGTTTGGTACATTGTAAAATCACTCTAAATTGTTTTGCAAGGCTGATTTCAAACAAAAGCTGAAAGGATGGTCTCAAAATATAATTTTAAGTAGGGAATTTGATGAAAAATATTGTTGCTAGAATGATTTCACAGAAGAATCTTTCTATGGATGACGTAATTGCAGCTGGAATCTGAAAAAATCAGCACTTAATTCTTTGTGTATGAATGAGGTTTTTCTTTTAAGAGACAGAGTTGGTCAGAGTTCCCTCAGTCTCTATTTGAAGGTTTTACTAAAACCATTATGCAGCCTTAAAGGAAAAATTCAGATCGAAGATTTTGAGAAGGAAACTCTGAGATGTTGGTTTTCTCCAAAGTCATGATTGTGAAGCTCAATGAGAGCGTGAACTGCTTCTTCCACTGAGCCCAGCTGGATAAGAGCCATTTTGCAATCTTTCCTGAAGAACAATAAAAGCACTTATTAATCCTAGCCAAATTTTCACTAGCCAACACAAAAGTGGCATAAGTGGTTTATTTTTTTCTCAGCTATATCACTCATTGTACAGCAAAAGAATCAGAGCTACTTATGCATGTGCTAAAATGCAAAGACAAAAAAACTACATAAATTTTGTGAATCTATGCCTTAAAGTCATGTCATTCTTTTGTTACACTGGACTTCAAAAAGCTAGGTCAAAATAAGGCTTGAAGACCTCTAAGAAATACCTGCATTGTCCATATGGATGAGATTATTCTAGCAGGTAATAAATAAATACTAAAATAATACTGCCGACTAACCTTAATTGATGTAGATATATTGTAATCACTGTCATTTTTTATATGGCATTTTTGCAAGAAATGAGCATTTACTTTCCTTAAACTTGTTTTACTTTGAATACACATGGAATCTGTCAAAACATCGTATATTTTCAATTTATTTATGCTAACCCAGTATTCCATTTAAAATTTTAAGGCAAGGTATCATAAAAATACATGTATATATTACATATACATGGAATTTTGCCTGTAGTTGTATACACAGAGAAAATCACAAAAAAGCAAATAGCTACTTTCTAGGATGAAAGCTTGCTTAGCAATTTTACAAGAGAACTTACTGAAAAAATTTGAAGCCTTTCACAGTAGATCCTTTACTTGTAAAAAGGTTCTTCAAATCATCGACAGTAGCAGAAGACCTAATTGAAAATAACAAACAAACAAACCAAAACCAAACCCCCCTTAACTTGTAGAAGAGCACAGTGATCTGTAATAACATCAAGATCTCAATTTTGGCTTCTAAACTAGTTTTTGTTGTTTAAATTTATCTCCATCAACTCAAACACTTGCATTTACATTTCAGTATTATATTGTGCTACAAAAATATTTTAGACACTATTATTCTTCATCCAACCTAGTTTCTTTGTCAGTAAAATTCAGATTGCATAAAAATCTCCTAAAATCTTAAGGAATACATTTCATCTTGCAATTTGTGCAAATGCACATCACATTTTCAATTTTGAAAGATTTTCATTTTACTCAAAAAGCTGTTTTCAAAGTGTCTTATAATTTACTTTCTTACTGTGGCAAAATTCCATAGTTTCCTTTTTTCCTCCCTGCACAGCTGCCAAACAAGAGAAGCCTGTAAAACTTATGTTTGGCTGCAATTCCATACACTACTGATAATATTCTAGACATAAAAAGATTGTTTCAGTCTTAAAGAATACAGTAAATACTTTTTACTTACTCACAACTTGCCCTTCACATAAGAGACCTGAATTCTGTAGAAACTGCTCTTCAAGAAGTGTTAGAATTATTAAATACCAAATCTATATTAAATATTAATGTCAATGATGGATTTGTTGTCATGTACATTACCATAAAAAACACAACTTTAACCTTTGTCAAAATTTGTGACACAATTTAATATGTCAAACACCAAAAATAAGCTCTCAAGAAGATATAAATTGATCAAAACTCAAAGATGATAACTCCTTCAGTTATCCTCTTTGCTAATGATAATAAAGGGACATTTAAAGGATTTATTTATTGCTAATTACATGAATTACAGAATTGCACACAGCAGAATGAACTGTAAAAGGCCAAGGAAAGAAAACCAAAACCTATGCTAGACTTTTTAACTTGACAACATCACCTAAAAAACATCTTTCCAAGATGATGACACATGCAGATACTCACGGGATGTTGGACAGATGCAAGGTTGCAGACGGAGGAAAGATATTTTGGAAATTCTTAGAGCAGGGATTCTTAAAGCGATGCAAAGGGCTATTGCTATAGTCCTTTGTCAGACCTTTGTCCTCTTGTCCCTCACGAGGAAGTTGAATTGTCTGATATTTTGAAAGAGTAGCATGCATGACCCTTCCATAAAGCCTCTGTCCATTCAAGTAGTTGATAGCTAACCAGTGGAAATGTAATTTGAACTAATTAATGGAGGGGAAGAAAAGATTTTGAATACTAATACTGTTTTCTACTTACTGTCAGATTTCACATTCTAAATTTAAACTGCAACTTCCACATCTACCAGGTGGGTTATGTCACAACATTACACTTTAAAAAGGTACAGGATATAATGTAATCTCCAGTTCAAATGCCAAAAAATTGCAAAACAGCATTGCAATAGAGATCAGTTGATCATTCTTAAATAGGTTGGTGTAAGATAAATTACAGGAAAATAATATAGTGTATTATTTAAATCAATGACAGGAGAGTTCTATATTTTAATTCTATCATTTACTAGATTGAGATTCATAGACCTATTTTTTTAAATCACTAAGAGTATTATCAAAGTTTAATGCAGCATGTAGTAATGCAGCATAATGATGAATTTTATTTGTTTATGCCTGCCACTGACAGATAAAAAACTCCTCCTGTATGTTAAACTCATGTTAGCTTGAAGCATAACCATCCCTTAAAAATCTATACCTAATTGAGCTTGGGTTGCATCTGCCATCTGAACCAAAGCTATTCCTCTTTTCTTAAACATGATTTTCACACGATGCACATCACCATACACACCTGCAGAAAACCAGAAAGGAAATTTTTTCAGGGCACTACTATGAAAAGCACAAAGCCAAGTCTGTTTCTTTTGACTACCATTAGTGTTACAAAGAATAATACCTCATTAAACAGGTTGGTTAAAATATTTGTATAAGGAGAGTTTTAAAGTTTGTTTATTATATTCTGGGGCTCATAACCGGAGGGAAACTCCCCAGATCCCAGTCATACTACTGCATGATTATGTTCAGTTTTTAAATAGTGCAATCGTTGACCAAGTCTTCTTACCCGAGGCATATTAAAATTTACTCTACCCAAAACTGTCCCCTGCAACTAATGTATGAGCCAATTCTGTACAGCACTTCCTCTCACACAACTTCTGGTTTTTCATCTTATTTTGCTTTCCTATTTTTTGTAGTAAACAAATTGCACCACACACCAAAGTTCTTCTGACACTAACTGTTTTGCCATTTTGGTATCTGTGGCTTTTGAATAATGACTCAACTTACTGCCATTCTAAAACCAGTGCATTCTCTCAGTGCATTTCCTGGACATGCACAGAGCAATGGAGTTTGAATTAACCAGCATGGGTCAGATAAATAAAAATAACCACTAGCCCTGTGGTTTGTCAAGGTATATTTGACATATCTTACCAAATAGGATGAAAAGTCCATAAGGTGTGATGGCCTGTTTAAATGATAAAATGAGTACATTATTTCTAAAGCCATGCAAATGAAGACATCTATTCTATATGTGCATGGTAAACAAAAAGAATGGAAGAGATGCTGCATACTAATACATACACCTGTCTCTCTAGAAGCTATTCCCTGGAATAATCAGTGTATGGCACTCTTGTTAATACACATTTGCTATGCACATGTAAAATATGTAAACAAGCAAACACTTCAGCTCATGCATTTTCATCACTCAAGACTCATTCTGTCATGCTGCAGAAGCTATTAATTCTAAGGAGCTTTGTTATCCTTATCCTTTTTAAGCTACCTGCTCATTCCGTGAAAAGAATGAAAAACATTTGTTAAATTGAAAATAAAGCATTAAAGAACTCCTTTGTATATTGTAAACAACAGACAATACCAACAAAACTAAAACCAGTTGCTTCAAAATATGTTTGCTTTGTCTTCAATTTTGTCCCCATCTCTCTATATGGCCATGACATTCTAAAGGGAGACAGAGAATTTAACTGTTTATGTATGAAGCATACAGAAAGTAGTGTTTAAATTGTATTCAATTAGAAGCTGTGAACAGAAAGGCAAATATTGAAAGAAATTTCTCTTCAGTGATTCTCAAAACAAATCTTGTGTGCCAAGTACCAAAGAAGATAATTCAAATCTAATGCAGCCAAAATTTTTTCAGCTGAGGCAAAGGTCTTGCCAGTAATGAGCTCTAAAAATATCTGCATATCAGAAGCACTACTCACACTCTCTAGTCCTATTCCTTCTCAACTCAACTTCTCAAATGGGTACCAAACATACCTAAACTATTCAAAAACAGAAGATATTGCAGCCTAAGTGTAAGGGCATACCCATTTATCATCAGCATTTAGTGGTAGAGAACAATTACTATCCATGTAAAATCTAAATTCATCAAGAGTTTATTTTCTGGTCAAAATATTTAAATTCAGGATGGATACTTCTGTTCTTAAAAAGATTTTTTTTTTTATTCAAATGAGACTGAAGTATTTCTACTTAAAAAAAAAAAAAGCGGGGGGGAGGGGAGGACAATGAAAGACAAAACCAGATAATTTAAAAGTCATGAAGGAATGTTAAAATGCATACTGAAACCTTGCAACAGAAGAGAAATATGAACTGAAATAAGGTCAACCAGATTTTCTATACAGAGAAAAAGGAGTGACAGGGGTCAGACAACCAATACTGAAGAACAAGTGCTACAGAATTGCCAAAAAAGATATTACCAATAATTAATGCTGTAGTACATTGTTATTTTTATCCTTTTAAGAAGTTGAACATTACTTAATACACTGATATTGTATCATGCATTACAGCACTAAGCTCTACATGAATTGTTAGCTATTATTCATACTATGCAAAGCATCAGTGTCCTAAAAAGAGCTCTGACCTATGCTTCACATACGCTTATTTTTAAGAGGCACGCTCCTTTCAGATTCACAAAATAATCTTAAATAGTCAGCTGCAGAAAGCAGATCTGAAGCCATCAGAAACTCTGATACACTGTAAAATCAAAGAAAAAGTAATTTGTCTCCCAGCCCTATCTATAGCTGGGTTTTTGATGCTTACTGTGAATTTGACTGTTAGTGCAAAACCAGAAACAGAAAAATTACTTAAAGAAACTGGTTAATTGATTTTTAAACCTCAGAATATGAAGGTAACTTCAATTTTGCCAACAACACCTGAAGTTTTACAGTTAAGTAAATGTATGGAGTGTGTGCAACAAAAATTTTACATTGCTGCAATAGGACTGCTTATCAATAGTAAAAAAGAATTATGTTTTAAGTCATGGCCCTAGTAAAGCTTGATTTTAATTTTAAGAAGATGTGTATTGCTTTTAATTAAGAGTTGATCCGTGTTTGAATAACATGAGGAAGATTATAGACCAGCCTTCTGTCGTTTCCACTACTAAAATAACTTTCCAAGTTGTCCTTGTTAATTTTACTGCCACTATATGAAAAAGCATCTATGTGGAACTATGAAAAGTGAACATGGGTAGCTATTAACTTTTTTAAAATAAATAGTGATGCCAATAACATAATGTACATGCTTTCTTTTTCTTCAATCTCAAAAAAGTTGCAAAACTAGGAAGATCCTACACACATTTAGAAAAGTACTTGATTTCGCATGCTTTTATTTCCTTTTCTGTTTTCTCTTTTCCATTTATTTCCTTGTTTTTTAACCAATGTAAGGAAAAATCCTTTGCCTTCATTACAGATAAAAAAAGCACACAGAGGAGTCATACTAACAGAGATGTCAGAAATTATCATATTTATTCTGTTTACCTCTTCAAACATGTCCTACAGTTGACCATAGACTTCTCTCTAATTACTAGCTACCCTGCTAACATAGGGTTCCTAAAGTAAAATGTGTTAGGAAGCTGTTCATTGATGACAGGAGTTTTAAAATATTGCCAACTACCTAAAACAATTATAGATCTGTCCTGTTTTTTGTATTATCAGCATAGAAATTTCTCTTACTCCTTCAGCTAATGTCAGTTTGCAAGGATTCTGGTAGCTGGTACAAGGTGACACATCAGTTCCACCAATCAAACTTACTTCAGGGTTGAGGTTGCTGACTAGTAAAACAGAGTTTCCTGGAATATCAGGAATAGTCATGTGTCCAGGTGCTGCTGATGTAGTGACCATGAGAGGACCAAGTGCTCCAGGAACAGGCAGAACAGAAGGACCTGGAAAGGTATAAATAGCATCACTTGACAATATCTCAAAGTGGATACGGAAGAATACACAAGCAGGTTGTATTTGGCAAAAACATAAATATCCAATTTTAAAATGCTTTTAAGAAATTTAGTTATTACTAGTATCTGGCCAATCAAGCAGGAAGCACCTCCCTTTCAGAGAAAAAAGAAATATTCAGTTACACAAATAGATCCAAACAAAAGTGGACATAAATTGCAGAAAGAAAAAAAAAAATTCAGCACACAAGTTTATCCTCTGCTAGAAAGGGAAAGATGACAGTCTAAAAAACTATTTCTCACTTGATAGCCAGAAAAGCAGAGTTCCCTCAATTTGCTTTGAATGTCATAGCAGTTTTATGATTCTGAGAAACAATAAATATTTTATTCCTTCTCTTGCAGGTAATCTTTATCATGGCATTTAGATTCTTTGCTTATTGAACGGTAAATTATATCAGGATATAGTTTTTATTACAGAAACTTATTTTATTGAGCATTTATATAAGAAATAATTAAAATTACTCAAATTAATACTGTGTTCTGATTGCTATATTTTAAAACAAATGGCTCTGAATAGATGTATTCAGATGGGTCACTAGCCATAACTACAAACAGCACATTTTTAGAAAACAAACTTACCTTGAGGAAAGCCCAAGGCTGGGGCAAACCCAGGAGGCCCTGTATATGATGGAAATATGGTATTTTGGGTGGCTAGAGAGAACAGACAGATTTTTTTAAAGCAGATTTTTAAAGTTTTAGAAAACAGAAGAGATTTCAGCAATGAGAATCAGCTACCAGTGTTGCTATTTTGACTTTATACAGGATTCCAGATGTTTATAAAACTTCTGGGTTAAAACACTCATTGAAACCCAAGATTCTATGTTTTACAAAGACAACGTTCAGCCACTTTTGAAGCAAGTAGTCTGGTCAGCCTCAGCATTCCTCTCTAAAATGAAGTCAGGGCAAAATGTAAAACAGAGAAGTTTGAATAGGAAAGCACAGCAGAAACTAGTATCCATTAAAGCCCGTTTTCAATGGTTTCACACAATGGACATATATTCCAGAAATTTTCTGCAAGTAAATACAGGCAAAGATGTTTTGCAATGATGAGATGTAACTCCTGAATACTAAGATCAGTATAAGCTAAACAATATAAACTACAACTAATCTCTGAATTTTACTAGCTCCTGAAATGCATAAAGCATATATATTCTGCTTTTTATGGAGATGGACTTTTCCAGTTTTTGTAACTTAATAAACAAAAAAACCAGTGTTTTTTATAGCTCCCCTGGAAATCACAAGCATTAACCAGATTTGGAATAGCAACATATGGAGAGTCTCAGCATCAAAGATAGCTCAGTGATTTCCACATTAGTTTGCGCAGTCAAGTGCTACCCAGGGTAGCACTCACAAAGCTGTGTTCCAAGCAGTTAGATACAAGCTTGAGTGGTGGATTCACTCATATGCAAGGACATATCAGATTTAAATATTTTCAAATTGAGAACGTATAATTAGAAGGCATATTACAAGTAATATCTGGTAATATGTATGTTGTACTACTCAGACCTTCACATGACTGACTAAAATAGAGCTACTAACAAATGGTTATCAATAGGGATAATACAATACCAAAAGAAGTATCTATTATGAATTACAAAAAGAAATGCAACAGACACTACAGATCAAGTATTCATGAATACTGAATGACATTACACCTCCTCTTATCTGTGGCAAAAAAAGTATCTTTCATACAAAAATCTGAACACATTTATCACACCAAAGCAAGTAAATAAATTTTTGAAATTACACGGACAAGTTCTGATAATATATCTGATTATTAATCGCTTATTCACAATCCACGAACAGCAATGGAAATAATAATGAAGAAATAGATAAAGAACTTTTATTCTGCCAAATAAGACCTGCATGTTGCACGCTGATACCAAAATCAGGAATGTAAAAATTGTCAAACTGAGCTAATGCAGGAAGACCTGGAATTCTTTGTTGCCTTTTTTTTTTTTTTTTAATTCATTTGCTTCATGGCTATCAGCCTAGCTTTCTAAGCAAGCCAATTCATGTATTTCTGCTCACTGAATGCAAGAACCCTTTAAATGCAAAATATGCACAAAATCTGTTTATAGTGCAGCATCTTTTCCAAAAAAAAGCAAAAGAAAATTAATGAAAAAGAAGAAAAACAAGTTCCAAGAACAGTTTAGTTTTGCTATTAAGATAACTTCAAGTCTACAATAAGAAACAGATTATTCTGAAAGTTACCAGCTTTGTCATATAATTATGCATCAAAACTACATTCACTAGTAATAAGAACTAGTGAAAGTACTCACATGACTTAGAACATCTTTTCTTCATGTTCTGTAACTAAGCTTCTCCGAACATGCCAATGACAATATGTGCATATTGTCATTTGACAGAAAGGCTAGGAAGCACACTTCTCCCCATCTATAGCTATTTTTATTGGTTTTTTTTTAAATAAATATGCAGCTGCTTTGCTATGAATGTACTACAGACAAATTTTGGTACAGACATCAGACTATTCCAGCACTTCTTACTCTTACAGTAAAAGAAAACAAGGCTCCTAGCAATGAAAAGCTTGGAAGAGTGAGGGGGAAGATAGGGAGAAGTGTTGATGTGCTATTCTCCAAAAGCATAGTTATTTCTGCCCTACAAGCAAGCGCAGAAATAAACTACTCTAATTGTATTTTTCCCTTCCACTGACATTTCATATAGTGCAAGTCTAATTAGTTAGAATATATTAGACTTGTAACAGCACATTTCTATAATGCTGTATGGCAAATTCCACCATCCTCCTCTGCCCCACACTGTAATGATGTTTGTCCAATACATAAAGATCCAAGGCCTGCGTTTAAGGGAAACAGTAAAGACAAAAATCAAGAAAGTGAGTTGAACTCACTTTCTAATTCTAATCTAAGCTAACTCAAGTATCCAAAAATCAAACTAAACCCAGTATTTGCCCTAGCTGTCACAGAAACGTAAAGGAAAATAGGGAATTATTCTCCCACATTTTTTACTGTGATAATCAATTGGACAGCACTTAATACCTATTCAAAAGCTAAGACAGTTCTTAGCTGTGTATTATTGCTAATGGTTGTCATTACAGAGAGAAAAATAGCTAAAATTGCTGAAATTGAGTTGTGAGCATTTCTCCAATGTCACTTCAAGCAGACACTGTCTCCTATAGGCCAAAGTGACTTCTAAAATTTAAGAAAATTTCTTACATTTTATATTTTAAAATATGAGTATAGACATATATAGGTAAGTATAGAATTTTGGATTTTCACACAGTTTTGTTTCTTGCAGCACTCATTTATCCTAAAATATCAACAAATAAGAGCAAATATCCTTAAAACACTTATTTTAAAGTAGCCTTAGGCAGCCAGTGTCAACTTCTGATATGAAATATTTACTACATTACCTGTAGCAACGATTCTGTTTCCTCTTTCCCTTAAACACAGGCCTTGGATCTTTATGTATTGGACAAACATCATTACAGTGTGGGGCAGAGGAGGATGGTGGAATTTGCCATACAGCATTATAGAAATGTGCTGTTATAAGTCTAATATATTCTAACTAATTAGACTTGCACTATATGAAATGTCAGTGGAAGGGAAAAATACAATTAGAGTAGTTTATTTCACAGCATTTTAGTAGTATTTTGTAGCTCTTTTACAACACTTTAAAATTTGCCCACTAGTATTCCTCACATTATTGTTTGAGATATTCATTTACCATGACTTGGATTTCATGCTTTCCATACGAGTTTTACTGGACATAGCAAACAAAAATGTACCTCTCTATGAACTTGGTATGAGGCCAAAGCATAAATGTGACATAAAAATTATGATCTCAGTGTGTATGTAGCACTAGAAGTTAAGGTTTCTTACCAAAGGGTATGGATGTCTCCACAGTTCGTTGGCCATCACCAAAAGGAAGGTCAATGCGAGTGAAATCTCTGCTTTTGTCATTGTTGTACTTCACTGTTAGGTTAGCTAACTTGGAGAACTCAATACGCAGAGTGCAGCACCCAGTATAGATACAATGGCCATCCAGAGACTGAAGAAAAATAATTACATTTTCAGAGATAAAATACATCATGGCAGCAATCACTATAAGTTTTTATTATTATTGCAGCCTTTCAGTACTTGAAGGTGGCCTATAAGAAAGATCAGGACAGATCTTTTAGTAGGGCAGATTGCTATAGGACAAGGGGTAATGGTTTTAAACTGGGAGGGTTGATTTGGATTAGCTGTATGGAAGAAGTTTTTTTACAATAAGTGTAAATGAAACATTGGCAGAGGTTGCCCTGAGAGGAGGCTGATGCCCACTGGACAGGGCTCTGAGCAACCTGATCTCGTTAAGGTGACCCTGTTCACTCCAGGGGATTGGACTGGATGACCTTTAAAGGTTGCTTCCAACCCAAACCACTCCACCTTTATAAAATTTTCACCTTGCAACTGAACCCAAACAGTAATTCACCTTCTGGTATTAAGCTCTCTTTCTAAACACCAAGTAGACAATTATGCTGCCATTATCCTCACCTAAACCTCTAGTGTAGTCCACTAGTTAGTATTATATCATCTTATGCCAACTGGACAAAACACAGCTTTAAGCATGACTTGACTTCTTAATGTTTCTAATCTTACTTCTCTCCCACTCAACACACAGTATCAGATGGTAACAGGAATACTAATTTGGAAATTTTAACTCTATGAACTGACCCTTACATGAGGGACTCTATTGTAGGATCTGAAGCACAAGTCCCATAAGGAGTGCTGGAGGGAGCTGGGGCTGTCTGCCCTGAAGAAAAGGAGACTCAGGAGAGACCTTACTGCTCTATACAATTGCCTGAAAGGAAGCTGTAGCAAGGTAGGAGTCAGTCTCTTCTCCCATGAAACAAATTACACAACAAGGGGAAATGGGCTCAAGTTCTGCAAGGGGAGTTTAGACTGGATATTATGAAAAATTTCTTCATCAAAAGAGTTATCAGGCATTGGAACAGACAAGTGGTGGAGTCACTATCCCTGGAGGTATTTAAAAGATGTGCAGATGTTGTGCTTCAGGTCATGGTATAGAAGTGAGCTTGGGAGCATTAGGTTTATCATTGGACTCAATGACCTTAAGGGTCTTTTCCAATGTAAGTCCCAGACCTAGGCATGACTTCAAATGAAACAACAGAGCAGATGGATCCTGTGCCCAAGAACATCCAGAAGTGGTGCATAATTGTTGTAGGTGATTCCCTGCCACAGTGAACAGAGACACCCATCTGCTGACCTGACCATTGGTCTAAAAAGTTCTCCAGTCTACCTCTCTGGGACTTGAATCACAGGTGTCACAAAACGATTGCTAAAGCTTTTCTACACATCTGACTATGTATTACCTCCTACTCCCTTTCTATGAGAACTAAAGACGACTTGGATGAAAGGGCAGAGGCCTCCTCAGTGATTTCACTGACCACACAAAGCTGGGAGGAGTGGCCGATAGCCCAGAGGGCTGTGCAGCCGTTCAGAAGGACCTTGACAGCCTGGACAGATGGGCACAGAGGAACCTTCAGAAATTCAGCAAAGGCAAATGCAAACCACAGACTAGGGCCTGATCTGCTGGAAAGCAGCTCTACAAAGAATGTGTATTTTTGTGGACCACAAGATGATGTGAGCCAGCAATCTGTCCTTGTGGCCAAGAAGGCCAATGGCATCCTGCAATGCATTATGAAGAGCAGGGTCAGCAGGTCAAAAAGGTGATCCTGCCCCTCTACTCAGCACTGGTGAGGCCACATTTGGACTGCTGTGTTAAGTTGTAGGTTCCTCAGCCTGAAAGAGACACGGAGCTCTTGGAAGGGGTCCAGTGTAGACTTACAAAGATGATTAAGCACTTTGGAGCATCTCTTTCAGAAGTAAAAGTGGAGGGAGCTGGGCCTGTTCAGCCTAGAGAAGGCTGAGAGGGACTATTAACTAAAGAGAGATGTCAAAGTTATTCATGTGCAGCAAGAGTGTTAGAATGGTGAAAAAATCACAAAGTTAACAGTCAAAATATTCCTAAGGCTTCCCCTGTCCCTTAGCAAGGAAAACCCCCCCAACAAACAAGCAAAATCAAGCTGAATACACTATACTTACCATTTTGGCATAATATGCATTCATTGCATCAGAATATTGCAGCAGAGATTGAAATTGATTGTTCTTATGGAACATGATAATCCTCAAGACAAAGCCAAATTTAGAGAAAATCTGTTAGGGAAAAAACATGGTCTTTAAGAAGCAGTGAGTAATTCATGCATACTGAAAACTAGCATTTAATATTCCAAAATAAATTTTTGAAAAATATATCCGTTTTGAGAGCTGATCAAAAATTGTGTGAACTCAGAATTTTGTTTCAGGCAAAAAAAAAAAAAAAAAAAAAATAGAGAAAGGCTACAAAAGATGGGAAAGAAGGATAAAATTTCCTTAAAGAATTAGCAATGTCTAATCAACTAAACAGGAAAGGACAGTCCAAACAAGCATTTGTCAAGTGTCTGCAGATAAATTGTGGATAACTCAAATCTGAGTTGAGGTTTGAGAAATGGACTTTGCAAGTCATAGAATCACAGAACACATTGAGTTGGAAGGGATCCACAAGGATCATCGAGTCTAGTTCCCAGCTCTGCACAGGACACCCCAAGAGTCACACCATGTGCCTGAGAGCATTGTCCAAAGGCTTCTGGAACTCCGTCAATCTTGGTGCTGTGATCACTTCCCTGAAGAGCCTGTTCCAGAGCCCAACACCCTCTGGGTGAAAAACCTTTTCCAATCCAACTTAAACATTTCCCAACTCAGTTTCATTCCATTTCCTCAAGTCCTGTCACTGGTCACAACACTGAAGAGATCAGTACCTGTGCCTCCCACTTCCTCTCTGAAGAAGTTGTAACTGCAAGGATGTCTCCTCTTAATCTCCTCCAGGCTGAACAGACCAAGTGCCCTCAGCACTCCCCATAAGGACTCCCCTCCAGACCTTTTACATTGCTGATATTCAAATTGCTATTGACCAGAATGTGCTCTCCAGCCTCTTGTTCTCTAGCTTATACACATTCCCCTTCCTTGTTCCAAGCTAGTTCAAAGCAAGCCCCACTACTTCCTACACTAGATCCCTTTTTCCCCTCTGAGAAAGGTACATCACATCAGGTGTCAGTGGAACAGGTGTTGAATAGATTATCCCATGGTCAAAAACCCCAAAATTTATTCAAGTACACAACAGAGCCATGTGTTGACTTGATGAATCTGTCTATTTCTATCAATATTATTCCTTGTTACTGGAAGTCAGTTGAGATGGGAACTGCAAACTGCATGTCAAGATATCCACCTTTATGTTCTCTACATTAGACAAATTCCGCAAATCTGTTGAATAAAATACAACTTAAATAACTGATGTACTTATTAAGACCCACTGCTTAAAGAGAAAACAACCAGGAAAGAAGCAAGACAAAGACCAAGATTTGAACCTACCCCTATACTTTATACTTAAATGGTATTTGTTTTATTGCAAAAATAAGCATTGCAGAAATACTTTTAAAGGCTGAATTTAAAGATATATACATTCAAAATGAGAGTGTGCATTACATGAAGGTGTTTAAACAAAAGCAATGCCACAAAGAGCGAGGACAAAAGTAAAGCTAGGATGTATCATGCAGTGCAGGAAAAAAATGTCCAGTCAAAGAGGAAAGGTGCATTTGAGAAATACTATTAAGTTTTCAAACAAACTGTCATAATCAATGCAAAGTCAAGAAAGAAGAAACCCCTGAGAAATATTAAACCTGCAATAGAAAGAAAGGTCTTAGATTAGTGTAAGCATCTCTTGCCAGCCTCTTAGGCCTAGAATCAGTGATACAAGACTAATGTACCAACCATACAAGACTAATGTACCAACAAAAACCTTCTCACAGCAATTTTAATTTAGTCTTTGAGTTCCTGTTCATAAAACACTTCCTCTTAAGAATGCCTAAATACAGCTTCTCAACATATGCTTTTCCATGTTTATCCAGATAACTTAATAGCCCTTTTCAAGGTACTGAAATATATCAACTTTGTTTCTGCAAAGATAACACTGAATTTTCAGCTTCTTATGATAAATATTTTAAGGTGAATTGTGGTTAAAAAAAAAGTAAATTTTTTGACAGGCAAGACAACTTACAAAATGCAATCCAAGTATGGAATGACAGCTTGCCTAATAGTGTTCCATAAGATGCTATATTTGACAGTGAAAATACTAATTTTCATTAACCTTACCACAAAAGGTAAAAGTTAGATTGTAGCTATTGGGTACAAAGTGCTGCTTTAATTACAGGAAATGGTCCCCTATTAAGAACTCCAAATAAGATCCCTTTTCAAATACTGCTAAATTTTCAAGACATACTGGAAAAGTAGTTAAGTGAGAGGAATTCAAATATTGAAAATATAGTTGTGCTGCGCTGAAGTAGACCAAAATAAAATGAAAGTAAAGGAATATGAATTTCCTCTTTGCTTTTGCATTCGTAGAACTGGTACTGTTCCCAGAATCACAGGAGCTTGTTCTGAGGTTATTCTAAATGCAATAATAATCCTAACCAGCTGACGTAGTATTTGCACAGCTTCAGTAATGACTAAGTAACACTCAAAGACACATTCAAAAGTTTAGATCCAAGTGGCAACTAATATCTACACTAGTTAATCAATATCATGGCAAGGAGATACAGAGAAACAGAAAATTTTAAGAGGTAAGAGGAAAAACATAGTGTTGCTAAAAACAACTATTGTTTAAGATCTTAACAGAGCAGGAAAAGAATCTTCCAAGACTTCCTACAAAATCATCCCAGTTACTCTAAAATATTATTTAAGAAATTCATATGTGGGGCATGGTTTTTACTACATAAATTACGACTAATTAAAAAAAATTCAACTATGAAAAACTTTGCAATATTTGCAAAGTATCAACAAATATTCTGGACATGAAGAAGTGGTATTAAAGTTATTATTTTTAAACTTAGAGCTTTCAACAGCATAGCTCAAATACCTAGCAGAGGTTATAGTAATGTCTTTCATAACTACAGCCTACCATTATTCTAAGTTTTCAGAGGTAGACAAATGCCACTCTAAAGATGAACAATCAAAACCATTTAATTTGAACAAGCAATTTGCATATTACATCACTTGCACTGATGCATAAAAATGAACATAAAATCCTAAATATAAAGCAAACTACATAGGTTATTCAGCAGAAAGAGTGCTAAAATATCAATTCACAAGTTCATAACATTTTTTCACAAGCTCATAATGAAAGCAGAATTAAGAGTTCAAGTTTGTTGCTGCTTCCACAGCAAGGAACTAAATGAGACAACATGTAAATTTGAGTACTGAAGCCCTGCATTTACATACAACTATTTGAAATCTAGATCCCTGAATTCAGGAAATTATTTTAAAGAGACTGTCCTCAGTCAGAAGATTCAGGAACCACAAGTATTAAAATAAATAAATTGATTTATTTACAGTAGAAACATTGGAACAGATTGCGACTTTTTAAAGCAGTCCTCATTACCTGATACAGTATGTCTAAAGTGACAGGGTAAAAAACATTTTCAACAATGATTCGAAGAACAGAACCATGACGTGGAAGGACCCCACATTCAGCAGCAAGAGCACTTGTAATATCCCGGTTTCCCTGCTGCACAGCATTCACACATTGCGGTGCAGGTTGGGGTTTCTGAAATTCATAGCAGAGAGTGCAGTTATTTTACATACAAATTATGCATACTGAAATAAAGTTCTCCTAAATAAAAAAGGACATAAAAAACAAGGTCCTAAAACCGTATTTCCTTCATATTATTGATTCAAATCCCATATTAATAAAAAATAACTCTTACTTTCCATGCTTCTCCCTTACAACTAGTCAGTGTAATTCACAGAATTGTAACTAATTTTTTGTTAAACTGCTACTACTTTGTAACTATTTTTCTTTGATTCAGTAAGCTATTGTCATTCTAGATGTTTTTCACAGCAATACTATAGATGATAATATTGTAATATTGTGACATACAAACAACCAGTCAGCATACCAAAAACTATCTGCTCTGCTTTACTAGGATTTAATTCTCATCAGAAACTAAGATTTGGTTGGAAAAAGCTTAAATCTGCACACCTTACTCTTCTTTCAAAACAAAGCCATCAACCACAAAAAATAGGTTCAAATCTCACTCCTTAAACTAGACTTCAGTGATTACACAAGTCTCATCACTTGTTTTCATTGATTTTCCCCAAAGAGGTCTTCATACCTCCTGTGAGTAGCAGGACTATGAAGACATGTAGTATTGTGGCTTAAAATCATGTCTCAGCTACACTATTACTTTGGAAGATAGATTAAACAGGGCACATGGTACATGTTACCTAGTTTCAGAAAAACATAACCCTGCAAAATAATATGTACTTCAGGGCTCATCCTAGGGACTAGGACAATAACAGTATTCAGCTGCCCTACTAGAGTCTCTTTAAAATTTAGATAAAACTCAAATATAAGTGCCAAACAGCTTATTTTTAAAAGTGGACAATGTTGTTATAGAAGGAAGCAAGTGCTATGTAATCAAGTTGAAAATACTTAGAGACCCAAGGAATCTTATTTGCAAATATACATAATAGTTTTCCTGAGGCTATTGTGCAAACCACATCCTTAAAACAAAAATCTTGTTATTTATTTGTTTTTGCAGATAACAAACCAATACAGCAATCTTAGATGAGGAAAGAGACAAATAATATTTACCAGACTGACAGGCTTTCAAGACTTGTGTGACTTTTGTGCCAGCACAAATGGATGATTTATGCCCAAATCACTACTGTCAACATTCTTACAGAGAAAAAAAAAAAACAAACAAAAAAACATGATATACACATCACAGCATATAACTTATGTATCTAAATGGGAAGTCAATTAAAATTCATCCAGGAATCCAAAATCCAGTATTAACCCCTAGGGTACTCTGCCAGTGACTGTACCCCAGCCTTATGCCATTGGTCACAACCATTTTAGCCTTTCAAATCACTTCACAGTTCACTTAACTGGACTGCATTAATCACTTCATCTATTCAGATGTTATTGGAAACAAAACCGAAAGTCTTGCCGAAGATAAACAATATCCTCTTGCCTTGTCCACCAATCCAGTCATCTCACCATAAAAGGCCATCACATTGGTCACGCATAACATCCTCCTAAAAATCTATGCTTTTTTATGACTAACCACTTTCTTCTCCTTAGAATGTTTGGAGATCGTTTCCAGAATGAGTTGCTCCATTCCTTATCCAGGGACCAAAGTCAGGTTGATCAAGCAGTGGATCCCCAGACCTTTCTTTTCATCTTCTATGTTGTCCTGCCTTAAGATAGGAGATGGAAGGACTTTTTCTTTTCTAGTCCTCAGTAACTTTTTCCAACTGCCATAACATTTTCAAGATTGTACACTCGTCTTGCAATGACATCAATCCGCTCCCTCAGCATTCAAAAGCGTATCTCACTAGGGCCATAAACTTTTTGCTTATCAAATTAGTTTAAATGTTCTGTAATGTGATTCTTCTCTACTTCCTTCATCAAGACTTTTCCACTCTTCCCATATGCTTGGTAATACCAAGGCAAGTCTTAACCACCACACTGCCAAGAAGGCTCTCAGTAATTCAGCCTTTTCCATCTCCTTTGTCCCTGCCTTATTCAGCAGCAAGCCTACATATTTTTTTAGAAAAAAGAAATCTTATTTCTACAGCTGATACACCTCAAGGAACCAAACTTGCTGCTTTTCACAGCTCTCATCAGAGACAACGCCATGTGGCCTTTGACTTTCCTAACCATATCCCTGCATGTTTAGACAATGCTCGATAGTCTTCCTGAGGTATCTGTTCATGATTCCAACTTTCCCATGCCTCTGTTTTATGTTTAAGCCCAATCAGGAGCTCCTTTTTCATAGAAGCAGTCTTCCTGCCACTTCCCTTCATCTCATGGTCATTATGATGAACGACTTTTGAACTTGAGCTCCTTCACAATAATTTTACAGACTTTGAGAAGATCCTGTCTGTAAGAAGTTACTGAAATTATATAATATATATTGGAACTTGTCTACTGATATAGTGAAGAGCAGCCTGTTTATTTACTACTACTACTGTTGTGGTTTGACCCTCATATGCAGCAAAGTGCCACACAATGGCTCAGTCATTTTCCCATACCACAATGGGAGAGGGAATTGGAAGCGTGGAAGTGGGAAAACTCATGGGTTAGTTTACAGACAGTTGAACACACAAAGCAATAGCTGCATGTGGAAGTAAGGCAAAACAGAGTGTTTAAACACCTCTCCCAATGGCAGAGAGGTGTTTAAACATTTCCAAGAAAGTAGGCATTTCATTGAGAGTAACAATTACTTGGAAAGAAAAAGTAATGAACATCCCTCCTTCCTCATCCTTCCCCCAGCTTTCAGCACTGAGCCCAACATCATACAGTGTGGACATTCCTTGGGTCAGCTGTAATCAACTGTCCTAGTTGAGACTGTTTCCATCTTCTTGGGCACCATCACTTGCAGGGCAACGTGAGAAGCAGAAAACACCTTAATACTTTCTGTATTAACACATGCATTCACAACTCATGCAATTATATCCTGTTAAATGGAAATATTATACTTACAGCCTGATTATGTTGATTGTCAGTCCTAAGTTCTTTGTATTTGGAATACTGAATATAAACTGGCTGATGGTGGAGGTGAGGTGTAGCAGGAGCATAGTAGTTCACCATAGAAACAGCAGCATCTATGGAAGCCATTTCCAAAAATGCCTGCAACCAATACATAGCTGATTTCAATGCTGTTTTTGTTTACAGGAGAGAAAAGAGCATCATTTTTTCTCAATCCCACTCTCACTAGAAAAAGATTATGTGAAAGTACAATACTGATTTACTCAGTATTAGAGTGCATTTGTGTGTGCATTTTTATTTTTATTCAATTTGTGGGTTTTCTTAGAAAGTCTTATATTGTAGGCATGCTATGTCATTTAAGAAGAGATGGAATAAATATGATATACGGGAAGCAAAGCTGCTAAAAGCACTACACTGTTAATCAATTTGTTAAATTCCTGAAATCAAGCACTATTACTTAGGTAGCTAAAATGCACAGATTGAAAAAGCTGGAACAGAACATTAAAACATCCATTAGCTTATGCATTGTATTAATCCAGCTCAGTGCTCCAGACAATTTTTTGAATGAATGCTTACTATTTTTAGGATTTCTGTGTTTCTTCATGACACAAACTACTCTGCCACATCTAACAGGATTAAGCAGATGTCAAAAAATTAAATTCATGTTAGTAACTTAAACAGGCAGGCTCTTTGAAGACATATGTCATCAACAGTGACAATGTATTTCTTTATCATCCATATAATCTCACATAAAGTGGATATAATGTCTAGCAATATTATTAAAGATTCTAGTTCATTATGTAATCCAAAAGCATATTAAATACTTGAAATAAATTTCAAAATATCCTTTCACATTTAAAAATATGAAAATTTTCCACTATTAATGAAATATTTAGACATTTCATTGCAATCATTTCACTCAAAGTCAAGATCAAAATTATTATAACATGAACCACATCTTCAGTCTTGCTCTTGTTATAGAAACATTGAAAACTACATACCTGACCTTTCCCTCTTAGCATCAAGAGATTGGTTACTTTGCCAAAAGGGAGACCTAATGAAACAACTTCTGCTCCAGTAACTTCATTTGGAATTTGACGAATGTGAAGGACACGTGAAGGGGAACATGGCAATCTTTTTCCTTTACTTTTTTTCTTCTCATGACCTAAAATATTTTAGGGAGGGAGACAGAAGTAAACAAGACAAATCCATTGCACAGTGTATATATCAAAACCTAAAGGAGAGAAACTGCTGACTCAGCACTGACATTAACTTAGGTACTTAGTTCTTCAAACTCTAAGAAAGGATTTTTCATATCTAACAAAAGGACAGTGTAAGAAGGTATCATCAGCTATTCCAAATCTTGAAAGCAAGAGGAGAGTGGGGTATGTCTGGCTTTGTTTTGGACTTGTTTTTTTTCTGAAGATTTGGTTTTGATTTGCTGTTGTTTTGGGTTTTTTAATGGGAGGTCAGTAACTTCTCCCCAAATGCCTACATAAGATATTTACAAAATGTTAGTTGCACAGAAGAGGGGAAAGTCCCAATTGGGAGGTAATACATTAATTTTTCTTTTATCACCAGCTTATCTTTCTGTGACTGAATTGCTAACTCAAGATTTTTGGTTTTTTGCTTTATTGAGGAAAGCCTGCTGATCCAAATTATTTTTAATTTTAAGAAGTCTTTGAAAAAGGTAGACAGCATGAAATCCATACAAACTTACATCTTCCACTTTGACATACTGCCAGAAGTGAGGCTTTTTTAAACATATGCCTATTTGGATCCTGTAAGGGACTGATTTGGGTTGGTAAGTGACCAATGACTACATTTCAAGAACATTACTCACTATCCTTGAGAGCACTTTAAAGCAGAACACCATATCTGGAACAAGCATATTGCTCTAGAAGCAGTTGCAAAGGAGGCAAGAGAGATAGCCTTAATAACTAATCTTTTGTATTTAGCCTTCCAAAGAGAAACACAAAAAATTGGGAAGAAATTTCTGAATGAGCTTTATAAGAAATTTCAGATTTTGCTGTAAGTTTTGCATACAGTCTAAGGCTGAGAACTGGTTCACACAAGTCATTCTTCATAAGGATGTTTACAGAGGATTGTTTTATTACTGGAAACCTGTAAAATTTCAAGTTGGATGATCAAAGCTCCAACTATACCATACTTAACAATTCTCCCACCACCAAAACTGAAAAGTCTGTTATGCATTGATTTTTCCATCAAGAAATTTTAAACAGCTTCATGTGCTCTGTATGCATTCTGAAAAATGTGAACTTTGAGACAAACACGACCATATTAAACACATATTGGTACCCAATCACAACAGGACATATTACTAGTAAACTCTAACAACCTATTTTATTACTTTTCAGTTCAAAATGGACAAGATGTCACTGACTTAATATTAAGTCAAGGAATGCTTGACCAAAGAAAGCAGGAAATGAAGCCTAATAGGAATTTTGCCTTTAGTTTTATAAGAGAGAAGCAGTATCTTCTGGTGACAAAATGGAGCTAAGTGGCAAACTATTGACATGCTTCTTTTCTTGAGAAACTTTAGCTAAGTTACTAAATTGGCAATAGAAGCTAGCATATCTCAAATATAAAACCTCATAGTTTTTTAAACCATGCTTCTTTCTCCAGCTGTGGTTTTATACTAATTTTGATGCAGAGTAATAACCATCTATATCTTCCAACATCTAAATTTCAAAATTGATTCAGTGTTTCTTTAAAGCATGCCAAAGGTGATCACCTTTCTGAATTGTACTCTCAATTGAGTGAAAGTAAAAAATGCTTTCAGACAGACTAAAAGAATCCTTATGGACAAAGTGAAAACTGGTTCCTGATGTACAAAGGGAAGTTCACTACCATCACAATTCATGGCCGGTACAAATGTATTCCCTGAGTAGCCTGAGGTAGAGAGGTATACATTTTAGATATGTGACTCACGAGACCAAAAAAAACCCCCAAACTCCAAACATAACAACAAAAAACAAGTCCTGCAGCTGGAGCAGCTGTATTGGGTAAAAAGATGCATTTCACTAGTGATCATATTTAATTTTAGATTTATATGATTATTCATGAGGATGCCTACTAATATATCCCAAAAACCTCTATATCATTTAGACATCTTGGATCAGTCATTTCACTGTTAATTAATAATATATATTTCGGCTATTACATTGCTGAGCTATAAGCTAATGCTATTTCAAGCCAAGCAGAAACAATTTGGACATCACATTGAATTGATCAGCAGAAGTATAAACAACCTGACATGTATAAGTCAAAGAAATCAAAAAGATAAATCTTCAAGTTAGCTCCTCAGACTCCTCCTTCTTCCTCACCAAAAATACAGTAAGTCTTAAGACACTGACCAAAAGGTGATCTGCTCTGTCCTTTGCCCTGACATAAAATAAACTATTTGGAAACCACTGCTGACAGGCAATTGTGTATGTCATAATTTAGTTAATTTATTTGATGTAGTTACTTCATGCAACCATCGGTCATTAACACTCCATGTACACCTAATGCTGGAAGTAATATTTACAAAAGCAGTACCAGCTTTCTCTTACTTTCAACTTCCTGTCTGATCTAAAACTACAGGAATACACTTAGTACATCTTCCTCAACACACACACAAAACAAAGGGAAAAAAATAACACAGATAAAGAACAGTTGAAGAACTTTGATTTTTTTTTTTAATGTATACCTGTAGCTGGAGTAGAATTGCTCATGGTAGAAGGTCTGTAACTGACACCACAAGCAGCTTGTCAGCACCACACTAAAGAAAAAAAAGACAAGATTACCAGTAAAAGCTGTTACAGAGAAAGCTCAATATAAAAGTGCAACAACTCCCTTTACTTATTCTTCCCAAGAACACCTGCTTCCTATACACAATACCCACAACTGCCAGGTATTTATTTTTCAGGGAAAAAATGTCAACAACCTTTTTCCCATGTCTCAATAAATCAGCAAATTCAGCTGTGTTATACTTCATATTTAAATCTATCCCACTACAGTTCACTTTTTAAAATACCAAGAATAACAAATGCTTAAGAAATTAGCTTGCTGTAGGCATTGTGTCTGCAATACAACATTACTTCCACAAATGCACAGCCACACAGGTAAAGTCTGCATTTGCAACAGGACATCTTGAGCAAAACTAATTTGTGACATATTTAAACACAACCATGGCACATTAAAAGAAATTGGTTTCAGTACATTTTTTTAAAATACGACTTATCATCAAATTCTTAGGACAAAGATCAAAGTATTTGCTTTAAGAATGTTAACAACTTGAGGCTTTAACTACTGACAAAAAAGAGTTTGAGTACTACAGGTCTTTCATTCTAAAATCAGCATCTAGCTCCAGTTACACCCATTTACTCATTAACACTGCCGCAATATCCTGGCCAAGCATCAGATTCAAAATGCCAACAAGAAACAAGGTACCACAACACCTCTGAAAGGCAGTTACATTTCCTGAAACTTTCACCACTCTCTTCCATAAAAGCATTTTAATGAAAACTAGAGATCAAGGGAATGATTCTGCAACATGGAACAAATTAATTGAAACAGCTTCTCATCACTTCCCATTGTCCTTGGTGCAGTATTCCCACGTGTGCATGAACTGCTTATCTTGCATCAAGTCCAGTGCCCAAGAGATTCCTATGAGATTAATCAATTCTCCAGCCTACCACCATTCTAAACTGAGCTAGGTCAGTTATTCAGCTGAATGAGACATTGAGAAGTGGCAGGATCCACTGCAAAGAAAGAGGTAAGGATAAGCCATCATGCTGGCTGGCATCGGCTGCAAAAACACTGCTCAGACTACTGTCTTATATGGGGTCTGTGCTAAAAGGAGCAATTAAGTTCTACTCATTCTTGTTAATCATGTGTTCCTGCTGTTTCCCTACTGTGAGAAAGTCATTCACAACAGAAGACTGTGACTAGGCTAGGGTGCTTAAAAACCTTTTCAGCCAAATTTAGCTGCTGAAGGATCACAGGTGATAGTGTGGATGGAAGAAAACATGATTGTGTTCACTCCTCTCCAGCAACAGCAGAGACTTATTTTTAACCACGAAACTGCATCTTAACAGTATATTTAAATACAACATCTAATTGTGACAAACAGCAAAATCATTTTTACATTAAGAGAACTAAAAAATATAAACCTTATATTTTAAAGAAATGTCAATTAAATGGTTACTAGATGTCATGCATATCACACTGTACTTGCACAGATACTAGAATGTAATTAACATGCAATAGTGATATTAGTTTTCACCTATTAGCCCTACAATAAGTATACCAGCACTTAGGTATTGCACCTAAAGAGCATATTTCAATTGTAAAATGCCTATCATACTAATTAAACAAAAGCTCTAAGTGCAGTAGGAAGTAATAGAAAGTATTAATTATGGTATTTTGTTACACCAAGCCTTCCTTTTATTTACTAGAGGGCAGGAGGAAAAGCTGCAACTGACACAACTCCTGTTGTGGGGACTTTAATTTGGTTTTTAATATAGCATTTATTCAACAGAAGAAACCTCTGCATATTTCCAGAAGGCTGTGAAAAAACATGCTGTATTGTATGTCCAACATATATTCTTACAGTTTCATACATAATTTTATTTACACTGGTATTTAAAAAAAAAACACTTCAGTCATTTTCAGAGGAAAATATTTTCCAACCTCTTCCATTTTTAACTCACATTAAAAGAAACACAATGCATATGGCTGCAGTGACCTGTTTTACAACTCTCTGTGTAAATGGCCTGTATCCATAAAACTGAAGCTGTAGCTCACTGCAGCACACAATCAACTGCTGCTCCAGGATGGTGGACTAAACCAGTTTCAACAGGAGAAAAATTATTGAAACATTGAAAACTACAAAATTACAAACTTCATCCATTATATGTGCCTGTACTTAAAACTGATCATTCAATCACTAAATCCTAAGACAGTTCCCTAAATTTTGCTGTTACACTGACAACCATTAACCCACAACAGCAGCCAAAACACAAAGGAACGCTTTAAACCCCAAGCTCATCACCTAAGCATCTAAGCATCACCTTGTTTTATAAAAGATCAACAAAGCTTTGGGCTTCTTACAATACAGGGAACCATCATAATTTAAAATATATAACTGTCTTCGTATCTTCAAACTGATGCAAGGAGTATTTTTAACTGTACATACTTGTAACTATGTTTGCATTAAAAAACAAAACAATTAAACATTAAATCAATACACTGTAGAATAATTGGCCTGGCCTAGGCTTGCTAACTCTAGAGTCCTGAAAACAAAACTTAGTTTCTTACAGAAGAATTTAGAATCTTACCTGATTATTTTGGCTATAATTTTTGTTATTGTCTGAATGCTCCACCGAAACACTACTCCAATTTTTAACTTTTAGCATCAATACTAAGTTATATACCAACCCAAACAATTACAGCACATTTATTAACTACAGCATGCCCCTTAGAAAGATGTAGTATATGAAAACTGCTAAGAATTCCACTGTTTTTGCAGGTGGCTAACCAAGGTATTTCTCAAGTACAAGAATACTAAAAAGATGCTTTTCATCATCTCCTTATTTAGCCAGCTTATAAATGATAAGCCTTCTCAAATACTGACTGAAAGCAAAAATAAACCAAATGCAAAAACATTTTAGAAAATTGCAAAGATAAACTGACACCATGGCACTTGTGCAAGTTGAAGTAGAAAATGTGTATGTTTGAGATATTCTGGATTAATGAAAAAGACATTTATTTCTTCTGTGTTTTCACAACTCTGAAAACATATGCGTATTCATATAGAATACACAAAGAAATTATAAAACTTCAGTCTGTAAAGACCATTTGTTCAATCTTTCTTTCCCACATAGAAGTAAAAGAGATTTTTAAAATACTTTGTAACATGAAGTATTTAACGTGGTGACAAAGATCTGCTATAGCTGCTTTGGGTTTGCAAGGCCTTTAGTGCTGAAAAACTCCACACAATAGGGTAGTGTGCCATAGATAATGTCTTAGAGGATTCCAATTGAATCTTTCTACAGAGGCTAGAGAGTCCTACCATGGCCCTAATCTCTCCGTATACTGGTTACTTCTTAGTTTTCCACTATTTAAGTCCAGCTGAAAAAGTCAAAAGAGCAGCCAAATCCTACTTGTAAAGCTACGTTGACATCCCTCCTTGTTCACAGTTCATAGACACTTGACAAGCACTTCTTTAAGCATAGACAGGAGCATACACTGCCCTTGTGCCATCACATCCATTTCAGTTTTCACAGCACAGCTATGTGGGGTAAGACAGCTGCTTAACCTCAGCAAGCTGCTTGCCCCACTTCTCCATGAGGCCACACAGTGAAAGTGAACAGGCAGGCCGGACAAATAACTATGCTGCCCAACTCTTCCCTGATATATACTTCTTCCAGCACAAAGCTAACTCACAGAAAGCAGCACCTGTCTTTTGAGTGCCAGGACGATACCAATTACATGACAAATACTCACAGAAAGCAGCACCTGTCTTTTGAGTGCCAGGACGATACCAATTACATGACAAATACTCACAGAAAGCAGCACCTGCCTTTTGAGTGCCAGGACCATACCAATTACATGTCAAATATTCCTTCTTTCAGACTGGTAAACAAGGTATATGGAATAGTTCAAAACAAGGACAGCTACCAAACCAAGGCTGCAACATCCTCCTCTACTCCATCATTCCAAACACATTAAGCACTTCCTAACATCTTAAGACTTTTTTTTACACCATTAGACTTTCCACCTCTCCTACTTCAAGGCAGCATTTTTACATTTTTTGAGGATTATTACCTGGCAACCAGTAAGGCAAGAGCAATAAAACAGCTACAGTTAGATTAAGTTTATTCTTTCCTTGTATTATTGAGCAGAAACTAAAAACCAGATGCTTAGAAAGCTCAGTTTAATCTCAGACATTTTTTTAAAAACAGGTAATCTATAGTGCCAAGTAAAAAGTCCAGTAAGAGGCCACCACAAAGTGTGGCACACAACGACAGGTTAATGAAACAAAGTATTCTTCTGTACCTACTAAATCAATTTCCCTGACCAAATAAGGCATATTACACAACTGACTACAGCAACAGATGCCTGTCCTGAAACTGTTTCAGCTGTTCTATGATTTTTAAAATTCTGATAATAATTTATGCTAATTATTCTGCAATTCCAGGATAAAACCCACTGCATTCATGAACTCTGAAAGTCAGCAACTCTAAGTTTTTTAAATCTTTGTGAGTCATATATAGTTGGAAACACAAGGGTAAGACTAGTACTGTAAAATCCTTCTTTAGAACATGTCCATGTGTTAAAACTATGGCAGGTATCTATTTAGAATTGCTTCTGGAATCACAGAATTCTATAAACAATCTTTTAATTTCTAAAAAAGCTTTAAGTAACTGCCTTATTACCCTCCCCTCAGTGTTCAGCTGCAGTATTTTTTCCCCTCTCATTTTCTAGAAGTCACAAATTCTTCAGTACAGTTCAATTAATTAAAACTTGGATAGTTAGAGAGAAACTTATATTTGTATTGATCATTCTCCTAGAATTTAGCTAGTCATCTTTCTATGCTATTATTTTTATATCAACAATAAGGAAGAATATGATCATCATTATGAAAAAGAGCATGGGCAATTTTAATGGAAAATAATTCTTTCAATAAGGACCTCTCTCCATCCATGTAAATTTAAACTGTACATTTTTCTACAAGATTCTACATGGCAGAACTAATTAATTACTTCAAATTTGTCC